GCAGCCATTTCCAAAAATCAAAAAGTTCATTTTATTTCTCATAATGTACACTCAGCACCCCATCTTGACAGAAAAAAACAGAAATGTAGAAATTTTTGCAAATTATTAAAAAAGAAAAACTGAAATATCACATGGTCATAAGTATTCAGACCCTTTGCCGTGACACTCATATTTAACTCAGGTGCTGTCTTTTCTTCTGATCATCCTTGAGATGGTTCTACACCTTCATTTGAGTCCAGCTGTGTTTGATTATACTGATTGGACTTGATTAGGGAAAGCCACACACCTGTCTATATAAGACCTTACAGCTCACAGTGCATGTCAGAGCAAATGAGAATCATGAGGTCAAAGGAACTGCCTGAAGAGCTCAGAGACAGAATTGTGGCAAGGCACAGACTGGCCAAGGTACAAAAAATTTCTGCTGCACTTAAGGTTCCTAAGAGCACAGTGGCCTCCATAATCCTCAAATGGAAGACGTTTGGGACGACCAGAACCCTTCCTAGAGCTGGCCGTCCGCCAAACTGAGCTATCGGGGGAGAAGAGCCTTGGTGAGAGAGGTAAAGAAGAACCCAAAGGTCACTGTGGCTGAGCTCCAGAGATGCAGTCGGGAGATGGGAGAAAGTTGTAGTAAGTCAACCATCACTGCAGCAATCCACCAGTCGGGGCTTTATGGCAGAGTGGCCCGACGGAAGCCTCTCCTCAGTGCAAGACACATGAAGCCCGCATGGAGTTTGCTAAAAAACACCTGAAGGACTCCAAGATGGTGATAAATAAGATCCTCTGGTCTGATGAGACCAAGATAGAACTTTTTGGCCTTAATTCTAAGCGGTATGTGTGGAGAAAACCAGGCACTGCTCATCACCTGTCCAATACAGTCTCAACAGTGAAGCATGGTGGTGGCAGCATCATGCTGTGGGGGTGTTTTTCAGCTGCAGGGACAGGACGACTGGTTGCAATCGAGGGAAAGATGAATGCGGCCAAGTACAGGGATATCCTGGACGAAAACCTTTTCCAGAGTGCTCTGGACCTCAGACTGGGCCGAAGGTTTACCTTCCAACAAGACAATGACCCTAAGCACACCGCTAAAATAACGAAGGTGGCTTCACAACAACTCCGTGGCTGTTCTTGAATGGCCCAGCCAGAGCCCTGACTTAAACCCAATTGAGCATCTCTGGAGAGACCTGAAAATGGCTGTCCACCAACGTTTACCATCCAACCTGACAGAACTGGAGAGGATCTGCAAGGAGGAATGGCAGAGGTACCCAAATCCAGATGTGAAAAACTTGTTGCATCTTTCCCAAACGACTCATGGCTGTATTAGATCAAAAGGGTGCTTCTACTAAATACTGAGCAAAGGGTCTGAATACTTATGACCATGTGATATTTCAGTTTTTCTTTTTTAATAATTTGCAAAATTTCTACATTTCTGTTTGTTTCTGTCAAGATGGGGTGCTGAGTGTACATTACTGAGAAATAAAATGAACTCTTTTGATTTTTGGAAAATGGCTGCAATGAAACAAAGAGTGAAAAATTTAAAGGGGTCTGAATACTTTCCGTACCCACTGTATGTATTGATCACAACCTGATAAAGGTAGCACTGAAACATTGTGTCAATGCATATAGCTTGGTTTTTTTTTGCCAGTTAGACAGAGTGCAGGAGTTTTCTTTGTAACTTTTGACCTGTCTATCCCCCTCTGACGCACCTGTCTCTCCCTTTAGAGGGTGGTGGGAATGAGGAGTTCATATAAACAGCTCAGGCAAACACTTGTCTGTCTGTGAATTTTATTCAAGTCTTCTGCAGAAGGAACTCTCTGGGACACACACGCATCAGAGTATCATCCGAGTGAGCTGCAGTGTCTCAGCACATGCAGGTTTTAACCTAATCTCATCAAGGGAACATGTCTGAGTGCTCCCTAGGGGACACTCAATCTGGATTTATCGTAAGACAATCATGCCCAGGTACATGTGGTGAACCACTTAAAGTCATGACCCCCCTGGACACCTCATAAAGCATCACGCACATTTATTCTTCCATTGACCCCATACCCAAGAGACCAGAGGCCCCCAATGAGTGAGATTAGTTACATGGCAGTGTTTGGAGATGGGTTTTCATGGAATTCCCATTACAAAGGTGCAAAGTAATTAACAGTTCTGATTACATTCAATTCTTATAAGGATCAGATGCTGATGTTCGACAACAGGGCCTGGCTCGCAATCTCCTATATATTTTACCCAAAAGGTGTTGATAAGGTTAAGGTCCGGACTCTGTGCAGGCCAGTGAAGTTCTTCCATACCAAATTGGGAAAAGCATTTCTTTATGAAGTGGGCTTTGTGCATGGGGACATTTTCAGTTTGTTTCAAACAGGAAAAGGGTCAAACACAAACTGTGGGGAGAACTATTATCTAAAATTGTATGCTGTAGCATTTTGATTCCCCTTAAGAAAGACAACACCTTGGGAAAAAAACAGCCCCTACCAAAAGCACTGGGATAGGGGTGCCCCAATACTTTTGTCCATAAAGTGTGTATCAGAAGTTGGTAAACTAGGATTCTTATTATTATGTACTTACCACTGAGATCCACTAGACGCCACCATTCTCTCAGGCAGTGAGCCAGAGGACACCACCAACACATTTCAGAATGCTTTTCATTACATGAGTAACTTTATTCCCCAAAAGACGATATATCTTTCTACTGTTGCATCTTATAAAGTTGAAGCTCTTCTTTCCATACATGGCACAAATTCTAACTCATACAGATTTATAAATATTAATGTTGCTGGGAGAGTGCATTGTGCTGGCGCTCAAGTCATTTCACTTCAAAAAGAGGTTTCATAGGCAGAGGGAAATGTTTACATGCCAAGGCAAGTGTGACATAAAAAAGAACAGCAAAATGTACCTAGAATAATTGTGATTTTGCTCTTAGAAATGTATATTAGGCTACATAATATTAAATCATATTATTAATACACAATTAATATTACAACACTGCAAATTTCGCATCGTTCATTAAGTTCATATCTGTGGCCTAAAATGAAGCAAAAGGTGAACAGGTGTTCATCTGATTTTTGGATTTGGGACTTTCCACGCTGCTGCTGTGCAACCATATATCACCCTGCTCACAGAAATCCTGCCTGCATACTCTGTGAATCCAGTGAGAAGCTTTGAATTCCATTTTTTAAACAGTGTATAAGAAGAAACACTGCAATGCAGCAGACGTGGGAACCCCTTTTTATATTGTTTAGCAAAAAAAAATAGGCCTACCCTGGGAGGCGGGGCAGGTACATCTATGTTTATTAAAGTAACGGTGGAAAACTTACATAAATGGCAAGGCGGGCAGTCCATACGGCAAAATAAATCCATAATACAGAAACCAAAAGAAAAGCAATAATCCAAGCAGGGAAGGCTGGCGACAAAAACAAAACACAAAAATCCACAAAGACAGGCACGGAAAGCAAAAGTTTAGACAAGACACAAGAGGACACTTCAAAATAAGGAAGAAAAAGACTTCAAAGAGTGAGTAGCCACAAGACTGAAACATGAAAAATTTGCTTATGTACACAGGAGCTGATTTCGTTTGGTGACATGTATGTCTGTGAAAAGTCAGTGTTATTAGATTCAAGAAGTTTATTGTCATATGCACAGTAACGTCACAACTGTTTAAACCATACAAAAAAAAGCATGTAATTATGTTGATATATATAAATATAAATATATAAAAACAATAAACAACAATACATACAGACTTACAATAAAATTAGGTGCAGCAGAGGGAGTTAAGTGGAAACAAAATCCTGAGCGTTGTTGTGAGAATGAGATAAATGTGAAGAAAAAGACCCTGGTCCTGGTTAAACAGTTTGACTGCCTGACACATATACTCCATTATAGTAAGTGTTTTGCCTTTGTTTTCATGAGAGATAATCATTACCTACTTAAGTCATATTGTGAAAATACAATTTGAAGAAGGAAATATTGTTAAACTACTGTTTTATTTCTTTAATAAGTTTTGTGTCTCTACAGCCCAAGGGCGTCACTGTGTGTTGAAAAGCAGTGGGGACGTAAGGGCTCAGATTAGGGGTGTGATGATACACTTCGGTCACGAGACATGACGATGCAGGAGAACGAGACAAAAAGATTTTTAACACTATTTGAAGAAAAAGGAAATGCTGAAATACATGAGCGGCGGTCTGGGTCCCCCGATTGGATCATTGGAGCATTTAACACTTAATTTCCGGCATACTGGAGACATTTTCTGCTCCAATTTATGGTGGAAACATCTTAATTTATGTAAAGGGAAACAAAACAATTCAGCTTGTAGGTGATACTTGTTGTTATATAAAAATATAACAAAATAAAATGTAGTAATCAGAAGCTTGTTTATTTAACTAGTTACTTTGGGGGGCAATGCACATTTGTTTCTTCTATGTTAAATTTGCATTGCATGTTTTCTTATTTTGCAAATAAACCTTTCTCAAAGCATTTTCATTTGTTATCTAACATTTCTTGGTGCAAGCTATTTTTCAGGACATTTTTAACAAATGCTTCCAAATGCGGTGGGGACATGTTCGCAGCGTCCCCAGTGTAAATTACACTTCTGCTACAGTCTCTTGTGCCCTGACCTTTGCCCTGCCTCTTGAGACCTTTGGTTGTACATGATCAAATTTCTGATGAGATGCTAGTTTCCTGTAAAAGAGGAAGCTAAGGTCCGCTTTTGCTGGAAACTGAAATCTCAAGAACAAACAAACAAGGCGCCCCTTATGACACACGAGCGTATATCTCGCCCTCATGAGGGGAAGTGTGAAAAGAAGTTTGAAGAAAAGTGAAGGTCAAGAGTTTTACTTCACTTTAATTTTTAAGTAAAACTTGTCTTTTGTAATGGTGTTTCCTGTATGCATTCCCTGTTGACATCAAAATAAATATTTTGATCAGTAAAAAAGGCCCTATTTTTTAATGTGACACCAACCATTGTGAAAAGGCCAGCGAGACTGCAAGTGGAGTGAGTGTTATCATAAATTGGGTTAATGTCAGTTATAATCTTTGTGTGATGCATTTAAGATTTATAAGAGAAGAAATGCAAAAAACAAAGTTGTTTTGCTTTAAAACTGTGGCCTACTATATCTGGACTTTTTTTGAAATTTGAAATTTGAAAAGATTATATTAACATAGTTTTCTACATGATGTTTGTATTATTTATTTGATATTAACTTGTGAACTGGAGCAAAGGGGTGTTGCAACTACTGGACAGGAGGAGTAACCACCCATAAAATGAGAAGTATGACCTAAGAATGTAAAGATCAATCAATGTGATGATCAAGTTCTGGTAGCCAATGAGCGTTTCAGAAATGGTTTCTGTCCTTTTCTTTGTTTAAGTTGCTGACCCTAGAGCTCCGGGGAAGTTGATGTAGTAGATTTTTAGCAGACCTTGTTGGTTAGACTTAGGCGATTTTTAATATTGCTTTGCTCTTCATTCTTTTAAAAATTTAGATTATTGCTCTCTGGTAGGGAGATGGGGAGATTTAGGTCCTTTTTAACAAGGGTGATTTTACCAATTGCCCACAGGAACCGGTAAGAGCTCAGGTAGCGTAGAGGATTTTGTGAGAACTTTAAAACCCTTTTTTGCATTTTTTGACAATACATACGTTTCGCTTTTGGTGGACATCAGAGAAAAACTAAAATGCCTTTTCTCCTTTTGTCTTCATTTCTTCCCCCATTCTGGACTGGTAAGTCAGTATTCTTTTACTTTTACATCCACACTGCCTACACCTACACACCTCATTACAGATAAACAGTAAATTGGCCGCATTTTGTTAAAGGAACTCATTACAGATTATGTTCAGTGCCCCACTGTCTGGAATCTGCCAGTGAGAGGATGGAAGATGGCTGATGATTTTATCTGGCAGAGCAAAGTGCTCGGCACTGACGAGAAAAGTGTTTTGTCAGATAAGAAATGTGTTGCCGAGTTTGCTTTAGATGGTGATAAAACTGCAATTGCTAGAGTGGCTGACATGGAACTGAAACCAGTTTTTAAGATCAACACCAGTCAGTCAGACAACGAACAGGAGCCATCATGATGTTTTAAGTTGAAGAAGAACGGGTAAACAAGTGATGATAATTAATGATGTGGATAACGTAAATTTATATTCCAGTTTTAAAGCAGAAATATGTTTTACTTTGACAAATTTGACAAAGAGAATATAAAGATCAACATATATGACAAGTGCATTGATTCTGACATTTGTATTGACTGAGTGTGTATTTTAATTTCAGGATTTAGTCATTTTGTGACAATATTTTTAACTTGCTACTGAATTTTTGAGAGTGCAGTGCTTTGATGTGGGACAGAGTAAGCTGTGTTAAGGTTAGCCATATATGAATGTGCTCTGTGGAAAGCAGGAAGCTGAACATGCTCTGTCTGTAGGCCAATCTCATCATACCTTGTTTGAATGACAACAGAACCTAACCTGTCGTGTTCTTCACATCTGCGGACCCTTCTCTTTAACGTTAGCTTAGTGTAGCATAGGCCCTTTCACTCTTGAAAGAACACACAGAGACTCCCTTGTGAAAAACTGTGACATCTTTTCTTCTTGTGTAAGACTTGACTGCCACAGACACACACGTACAATATTGGATGTCTGTTAGTGTTTCTTCCTCTTCCTGATTTGGTGAGTAATTCCACACTGCTACACTCAGAATTACCACCACCATCCTGGGACTAGACTCTAGTGATCAGGTGGACCAGAACCTGTGTTAGATCAGGTGCCCTACCAAGGACTCGCTACAACACAGAGATGGGAAATGAAGTACACATAAACACACATGGAAGGATTTAACAAAACAAAATATACAAAACCCCAATCCATAAAATAAAACTTTTTCCTGATTGATCTAGGGTCAGGTTACTTCCGGCCACAAATGTGGAGATCATTAGAGGGGATCTGACCTTCTGTTATTGGTAAGGGGAGGTAGATGCTGCACATTCATGTGTGGACCCAGATGAAAGCACTTGTGTGCTTGTGTGTGTATGTGCGTGTGTGTGTGTGTGTGTGTGTGTGTGTGTGTGTGTGTGTGTGTATGCAGACTTCTCTCTCACTCTGTTTCCTGAAATGTCAGCCTAACCTCAGTGAGGCAGAACAAACGAAGGAGTGTGGTAACATGCTGCAGCATTACACCACCAAATTCTGTGCAAACTTGGATTGCCATAAATCTGGTCATACGGAGACCACTGTGTTCTACATGAAGGTCGCTACGATGTGACACGATCACGAGAGTAAAGATATTTCAAAAAAGTGAAGAAAGAGGTGGGAACAGAGCGATGGAGTGATGTTTAATCATGTTGTAATTGTATATAGGACACAGCCTTTTAGTGTTGAGTTCAGTTACTCTGCAGACTAACTCAGGTTTTTGTTTATCTAAGACCCTAAAAGCTTCTTCTGTTTCTTGCAAAGATTATTAGACACTATGCATCTGTTCTGATCTTATCTTTTGTGGGAGGGAAGTGAAGTGTATTCTTGCCTATTTTCTTCATATCAACATGTTCACCACATATAAGGAGTTTAAAATATTATTAGGGGCCTTAATAAAATGTGAATTTCTGTAAGAGTAGCCACTGTGTGGCAGAATAATGATAACACATATAGCTTTAAGGAAGAAATACAATAAACTGCACAGTAACACTCTGTTCTCACACTCACACTGTTTATTAGTTTGTGCTGATAATAATAGCAATTATTTTGGTTTTGGTATCCAAACATTACCTTATTGGACGTAACATAACAGACTCATTATAGGACGTCTGTGGGCAAGATGATATATAACAGTGATGAGACATTAGGACAAATATGTTGTCATAAATACAAACTGTCCTCACTTAACTTGATGCAACATCACAAAATATTAATAGGAATAACAATTCCGGTCTGTTTCTTCAAAATAAAAGTTCCTAGATACACAACATAGAAATGCTAATCACAATTAAATAGTTATATGTCAATGAAGACTCCAGCTATCGATTATTTTAATAATTGTTTAATCTTTAAAATTATCTAATAATTCTCAATTATTCAAGTAATGGTTACATTTTTAAAAATAGCTACTAAAATTTCTGGGAACTCAAGGTTAAATCATTAGTTGATTATGAGAATAGTCCCTGATCCATTATCTGTTAATTGAGAACTAACCATTAATTTCAGCTCTAGTGTGAATAATTCTACTAATAATAATTGTTTGGGGGGTTTTCTTTTTTGTCTTTTTTTTTTTTTCTTTTTACAATTTTAACAATACAATACTGGTCATTTCTTAAATGGGTTGTGATTTTCAAAATAATGTTGATAAAAGAAACAGCTCACATGACATACTGGCCATTAATAAAAGAACAGGAAGTGAAATGAACCTGTATCTAACAGAACCAACTCAAGACCTTTCAGATGATGGATGCTACCCATCAAAGAAACTGCAGTACAGTCCAATTCAATGACACCTTCCTTTGTTTTTCTTTTACCTTTCAGATTTGAATTGTTATCAAAGAATTGCGACCCTTCTCGACGCTCCTGCCTCCTTGCAGCTGGCTCAACTGTCAGTTAGCACTAATGCGGATAAACAACGCTAATGCTGCTGGCAGCTGATCTGCAACCTTTACGGCCAACTCCAACACACCTGCTCCCTACATACCTACACCACCCCCTATCTGGCTGCTTCGGCCATCAATCTCTTTAACAATCCCTGCATAATGCAAATGCCTCTGGGTCCCAAAGTTCAACCCAGGGACAGTGTGGAGTGCCCAGTTTAAAGACAAAGAAGTGACTCCTGCCAACCCTGGGGGAATGCTTCTGTCGCTGATGTCTCAGTCAATGAGCTACAGGCCTGAACAGAGTAGGACCATAATGAACAACGACTTAGAGAAGTCCACAGACATGCACATTAGCAGAACCAGAGAAGAGGAGGTGCTTCTCTGCAAACCAATGCATCAGTCGATAGACCAGGGCACTCGCTCTACCAGCACTCAAAGGGATGAGTTTCTCTCCTCAGGCACAGGGAAGGCCTCCCACCCACGCTCCTCAAGCTCTGCCTCTCTAGCACATAGACACACAGATATTGAAAGTGGAAGTAGCTCTTTGGACTGGTCGTCAAACTACAAAATTCCAACTGTTGATGACTCTAAATTTTGTCCATCATCTGCTTCGTCTAACTGTGCAAGCAGTGGTGCCTCTGAATTAGCTGCTAACATCCTTCTGCAATTTGGACTTGAAAAACAGGACTTGGACTATCTCATTTCCCTCCCCGAAGACCAGATTACTCCTGATAACCTGCCACTCATCTTGCACCAAATACACAATCAGAAGGCCAAGAGTGCTACAACAGCAGTTCAGTCAGTACCCTACCCCGAACCCCAACCCAACAGAAGCGTGAGTGGAACAGACAGTCACAGTTCGAGTACTTCTGGGGGGACAGGGATGTGCCGGGAGGAAACAGCTGTTCTCCAGCCGAGTAAAGTGATTGACTATGGACGATCAACTTCTTCAAGGTATCTCCTATGGTTTTTCCACAGTTACAGTTACAGCAGAACCCGTACATTTCCTCAATATTATTTGACTTTAGAAGCATTGCCCAAACATAACTGCTTTATGACCACTTGCCTCAACACCGACACCGTTGGCTTTTATTGTCAAAATGTTACAGATTGTCAGGGATATCAAAATTGTCACAGACACCCAAAGTGGAACGCTAGATAGTGCTCGGGACCAGGTAAATTTCTTAAATTGGGTAGACACTGTGATTCTATAGATCTGACACATTGTGTTAACTCACACTACATGTTTTATTTGGCCTTATTGCACAGTCAGAACCTGCCTCTTTTATGCTCACACTTAATGGGTCAACTGACCGAACACAATGTGAAGCTCGCACTGAGCAGAAGCTAAAGTAACAATTCCAAACAAGATGGCTGCTTCCTCAGTGCTGACAAAAAGAGAGAAAGATAGCGCTACTTTTATGAACAAAAAGTAAGAATATATATATGATAAATATTTAAATATTAAAACAAACTACAGTTAATGACAGATTTTTTTTGATTGTAGCCATGAGGGAAATCGGATCGTGCAACTTCTCAAACTGCATAACAGTTCATGCGTACCAGAAATCCAATTGCCTGAGAGCCAGATTGTTGATCGTTTAGGTTATTTAACCCTTGTGCATTGTGGAAATTGCTCCTGTCGCCACCATGGCTTGGTGGGTAGAATGAAGAGGTAGTTCGATAACACTCACACACAAAATTCCATTTTTAAATTATCATTAGTTTAATTGGACACTTATTTCGTCCCAACTTTCAGGTCTCGTTTTCACTCCCCATTGTATGACCGTCCGACCTTCTCCCGCTATCGGTCACATTCAAGAAACCCTGATAGACAAACGTCACAGAGGATGAGAGATGAGAAACAGTCCTCGCCAAGGAGGAATGACGACAGACAAGCATTTCCAAGGAGTAGCCGTGAGAGACGATCGCCACCATGGAGGAACCATGAGAGGCAATCGTCTACAATGGGTTCATCCCCTCGACGAAAGAAGTCAAGCAGTAGTGAGATGCTGAATGCACGTAAGCAAAGACCATTTCAAGATCTGCAGTTTAGGGCTGGAACCAAAGATTGTTTTCATTACTGATTACTTACTAGTTTGCAAAACTCAAAAATATTCAGTTTGCCACTCAGAGACCAGCAAATGTTCACATTTTGAAAAGCTGCAACCAGAGAAGGTTGGCATTTTCTTATAAAAATAATTTAAATCAATTAATCAGTTGTCAGTATTGTCACCAGTTATTTGTCTGTTAGTCTAATACATCAATAAATATAAAAATGTTACAAAATCAAACGCATAATATAACTCTTCATTTTTAAAACTTACAATGGAGGCTTTCTATGAGACTTTACCAATTTTGTCTGACACTCATCTTTCATCTTTGTCCCTCTAGCTGTTTTCAAACAGTCTGACCTGGAGGCCGGGGTTAAAGCTCTGGTTCCTACCTTATGGGAAGAGCTACACAAGATGAATACCCCCTTATCATCATCCTCATCTTCCAAAGTATGAAATACTTCCTCATCTCTACATTCTGCAGGAGGAAATATATCAGAAATCTGAAAATTATACATATGAAGCAAAAAAACATGTTTCATGAAAGATGACAATAAAGGGTCAATAAATTGGCCCGTTATTGAGCAAAATCCCTACAGCAGGCAGCTGCGAAACTGGCTACAATATAATCATCCAGGGTAAATGTCCACCCTTATGTACATCCATTAACTAAAAGTGCTTGTTTCTGCCACTGTCAGGCTCAGATAGTTATTATAAGTGTCTGTCACCCTTCATGGGAAACCTTGCAAATTCAAGGAATAATAAGAGCATAATTTGTTACTCTATATGGGGTTTGAGAAAAGCCACTAAGTTTCTAGTAGCCAAAGGGAGAATCCACAGAACAGATGAACTAGGACTGGAACTGATGCCTGGACCTCAGGTTGCTTGAAATATAGTTATCCTAAAATCCCCCGTCATAGCTCCAACCTGGTTTGGATACTTTTCAGCAATCAGTATGGAAACCACACACATCTTCTTTGTCCAGGGTGTGTTTCTTCTGTGATTTAATTATGTATAGTGTTATTCTATTTGGTGCTATACAGTATATACTGAATGTGATTGAGTCTAGCTTTTAGACGTGCACTAATTCTGTGGTATAGCCACACCTATGGGAAGGACATGATTATTTAGTCAATAACTCACACCTGAGTTAACTTGATGCCTCTGTACCTGATGAGGGGTCAACCTGGTACTCTTGTTAAATTAATGAAAAAACGTTTTTGAAAGGGAGCAGTCTACAGTGTTGTGAAACAGCTGGATACTGTCCAGAACATGTGCTGTCTTATTCCTAGACCATTACACAAAGGAGAGACGGGCCTTACTATGACTCTGCCTCTGTCCCTGAAACATATAGGCCCACTGGAAGACAAGAGAACATGGTGTTGTGTATCCACAAATTGTAAATTGTTAAAAAACAAAATAAACCTTAATTCAGTATTCTAATATTTAAATATACTGCAAAGATGAGTATGTACCACAAAGTTTGACAGAAAATTTAGCAAGAGAAAATTTTTTGGGATTATTATTCATTTTATTTTTTTATTTTCACCCTTTAATGAATCATCTCAGAAGATAATATTGTTTGTACTAAAATTTTATAAACTTATGTTGCTGTGTGGTTGCTAAAATGCATTTCTTAATCAACATTATAATAGTGTTGTATAATCAGAATGTTTTGTGAGACTATGCTTTAGGACTGAAATGCATTTTTTCTTTGGCTCTTATTCTTTCCTTACTCTTTATCAGGGGCGGTTTGTTCATTTGGGCGATCGGGCGACGCACCACCAAACAGGGAAAGGCAGGGGATTTTTCTCACACTTTTCTACCACACAGTTAGCTGTGACCGCCCTAATCTCTCTCACAGAATTTCATGTTAAGGCATTTTATTTTTTACTGCGGGAGCTGCAATGCAGTCTCTATGGGTTACAGGGAGCTCGCGCTTACGTGTTTACGTCATGCGCCCAGCAGCAGAGCTACGCTTCTGCCACCTGAAAACGACTCGGCACTGCAGTCCATCAGCTTATTGCTCTCACTACGATCTCACTACGATCAGCTGCAGTTTCAACAAAACATACGTTCAGGCTGAAAATGCGCGATTTTACCAGCGGTGAGTAAGACATAGTAAAAATAAGTAATTTAAATTGTTAAGCTAGCCACTAGCCACTAGGCTAATTTATGCTGTGTAAAATGCCATAGGCTAAAATTGTGACTGTAAAAAAAATATAAAAGCTTGATAGTTATTTGTCTTAGTAACAATTGTGATTGTGAATTGTTACTAAGACATGTTTTCTGTGTGGTAGTGGAGTCAATTTAAAGTTTACTTTACTGCACTTAACTAGTAACAATTATTTATGTGTTGTTTTTTTCTTTTATTGCCAGAAACAACGGAAGAATGAGGAGGTAGCATGATGTGGCCATCACTTGCATCTTTGTCAGAGGAGGATAAAAAAAAAGAAGAAGGAAAGCAACACAGAGAATAAACCAGATGATAGAATATACCTTTTATATTTCCCCTTACTTGCCTTATGTGTAAATACAGAAGAAGATTTGGAGATCAGCACATACCCCATCGTTACTGTGTGATTACGAGCATGGGAGAACAGTAGATACTTAATACAGCCCACAGTCCTGTAACTACAGGATAACAAGTGGAGAACATTCAAGATTTTTACAACTCTCTACTTGCCTTATTAATCTTGTGTAATGTAAAGAATGAAAATAAATACTAGGTTCATCTGTATGTTTGATCCACCTTCATATACAATATATGTGGAATTATTACATTACTATAGCCTATTACTTTAGCTGCAATGCAAGATTAACTGTGAATAATTTTATTCATTGCACATTACCAGCCCCAGTGCCACTGCGCTTTATTCTGGATTTTACCTAAATAAAAGGTTTGTCACAGCTACATCAGATGATTGCGAGAGTCATTGTTTTTTTTTTCATTATTACTAAAGTAGTTGCCTTACATCTAAAGGTCTAAAGATCTGGTGATCTTAACTGTGGACTGTTCATTCATTGTAGACACTGACAATGAACTTCTGGATGTAGCTGTTCACAAATACTGTGCAGTATGTAGCCATTAATTAGCACATTTTGACGCCCAAAAGATTTGCCTAGGAGAAACTCAACCGAGTGGTCCGAGTTCTCCGATTCCCGAAAAAGAAGGGGAAGAAGGCGAATCCATTTCAAGGGTTGCAAATGAAAATGCTGTTCTTGCTGAGGCATCTGTCACTGTACGAGCAAAAGAACCTCCAAAAAAGAAAATCGAAATAGGTCATACGATTAGAAAGTTGTTTAAAAGTTTTGATAAGATGAGGATGGAGGTTAGGCAGTTAAAGCAGCTGTGGTGTTACCTTAAGAGCCAGAAAGAAATGTTGATCTCCACCGTGGAAGCCTGTGAAACTAACCCATGTCCAACTCTCTCTGACGGCCTCTGGTCAGGGTACTTGTAGCTCCTGTGGGACTGAGCCTGGTCCGAGTGCTTTGAGTTCTTCTAATCCACACCTAGGAGCAGAACCCATGGCGATCAGCGAAAGTGACCGTAAAGGGACTCCCCATTGCCCAGATCAACGCATCGAAGTCACAAAGAAAATTGTCTTTCTGCAGTTCCTCGACTACGACAACAACAGGATCCAACACCGGTGTTATCCAGATCACAAGATATGGTCCAGGATTTGCTGGTGCAGAGAGGGAGAGATTCCAGAGAGACAAGATGGAAAACTCCCTTCTGTGTCCGTGTGGAACTGGAACACAGGACCCGGTATCCTCAGACAGTCACAACTCCTGTGCACCCAGTACCCACCAGAGCATCACCGGATGAATCGACTGAGGTGTGCACTGCAGATCTACCAACACCCAAGGGGAGCCTGGTGCCTGATCGATTGCATCGACAGAAATGAGGTACTAATTCGGCAGTACGTTCTGACACCCAATCCGGCCATGTTCCAGAGTCAGTCAGAGAGCGTGGACTGTTGGAGAGAGGGGTTATCGGACTTTCCATCAAGACAGTATCCTTTCTTTGCAAGAGAGGGTGTTGTGAGAATGAGAAGTGTGAAGAAAGCGACACAGGTTCTGGTCCTTGGGGGGCCTTCATAGAAACCGTTTGACTGCCTGACACATATATACAAGCCACATGGTAAAATGATGATTTGCCTGTGCTTTAAGACTGATTATTGTTAACTGCTAGGCTCATATTAAATTAAAGTACTAAAATTAAGTTTTAAAGATGTTTTATTTGAAACATTGTTTTATATTTTACTAAGAAGTGTTTCTCTGCAGTGTCTTGTGCCCTGACCTTTGCTTGGCCTCTAGAGACCTTTGGTTGTACATGATCAGGTCTTAGATTAGATGTTGATTTCCAGTAAAGAGGAAGCTAAAGTGCGCTCTAGCTGGAAACTAAATACTCAAAATAAAAAAAAAAAGGCATCCTTTAAGACATACTAGCATATGTCTCGTTCACATGAGGGAAAGTGTGAAAAGAGGTGTGAAGATAAGGGGAAGATCAAGTTTTGCCTCTTAAGTTTATTTAATTTTTCTAGTAAAAATTGTATTTTTAGTAAACTTTAAGACTTGTCTTCTGTAATGATGCATTCCCCGATGACATCAAAATAACTGTTTTGATCAGAAAAAGTGCACCATTTGCTAATGTGACCAACCATTTCTCTCCTTTATGAAGTCAGAAAGACTTGAAATGAGTGTTGTCATAAATTGGTTTAATGTTTATCCTGAATTTGGAGTGATGCATTTAAGACGATTTTTATTTGTGCATGCATTTAAGGTTGTATAAGAGAAGAAATGCTCATTTGTTTTGTGGCTTACTAAATTTGGCCTTTATGCATTGGAAATTTGAAACGATTATATTGACATAATTTGTAGAGACCTGATATGTTTTATTATTTGATTTGATTATATATTTGTGAACTGGAGCAAATCGGCGTTGCAACTACTGGACAGGAGGACCATCTGCCTATTAAAGGAAAAAATAATGCGAAGACAAATATGTGATGATCAAATTCTAGAAGTCAATGAAGGTTTGAAAAATGGGTGAGGCCATTCCTGTCCTTTTCCTTATTTAAGTTGGCCACCCTAGATTTCCGGAGGAGACTTTGGTGGGGCATAAGAAGTACTTTAGGATTTTACCTATTGCCTAAAGGGACCAGTAAAAGTTCAGTGAAGCTTAGAGTGATTTTTGTGAAGACTGCAATGGTTTATAGCTTTTTTGAACATAAATACATTTCTCTTTTGGTAGACATCAGAGAGACACTAATAAGCTTTTCATTTTGTCTCGGTTTTCTTCCCCTCTTCTGGACACCCACTGACTACACCTACACACCCCATTACAGATAAACAGCAAACTGGCTGCATTTTGTTAAAGAAACTCATGACAGATTATGTTCAGTGCCCCACTCTCTGAAACCTGCCAGTGAGAGGAAGAAAGGGGTTGACAGGTTGAGAAAAAAGTCTCAATACTAAAAGACTAACGTCATCATTTAATGAGAATTCACAATATTTTTAAAGAGGTGGTATTATGCTAATTTTCAGGTTCAAAATCTTAATTAGGGGTTGTACCAGAACAGAAATTTTCAAAAAACACCATATTTTTCTCATACTGCACATTGCTGCAGCTCCTCTTTTCACCCTGTGTTGTACGCTCTGCTCTTGAGCTACAGAGTGATGCATCTTACTTACAAAATCTCTGTTGGTAGTTGCACATGCGCAGTTCCCAGGTAAGAACTACTAGCCAATCAGAAGTAGAGAAGGGCGGGTCGTAAGAAACAAGGTAGTGTGATCCAAATCAAAGCCGCTTCAGACTGAGACCATAACCTAGCAGATGGTGTAAGTTACTCAGTCCACAACCACACAACATCATTGTTCTACATCTTACCATAAACCACTACAAAAATCACCATATTTCAACTAAATTTTACATAAAAATTGACACTTGAACAGTCTGTGAAGTTACATTGCCGTGTTTATTTTAAATATAATTCACAACCAATAAAGCATACTTACAGGTTGTGATTGTGAATTTCCAGGCCCAAACAGAGTCGGACTTGCATCGTCTTTTAGGACTAAACGTTGAACTGTTGCCGATGTTCTGATGATCTATGCTGCCTTGCCGAAAAATGCTACCAAATCGATAGAATCGACTCTACTCGGCCCTGCTCCGTTTTCCATTGCACATAGTACCCAGAGATAGTACGTAGCTTGTCATCATAGCGACGCCACACACAACTGCCGCAACGTAATGTTTAATGCGACACACACACCAGCGATCCACACAGCACCTCAAAACTTCTCAGAAGTGGATTTAGTGATGAAATTACATATGAAAACTGTAAAATATAAAATTTTCTGTTGCTGGCCTCTGTCTGGTGCAGCAATGATGATGCAGTGAATAGTGATGATTCTCTCTGACCAATCAGTAGTCTGCTGTGTTTTCACGTCACATTTTAGTATCGCTTCAGCTCGCTTGGAACCTCAACGGAGGTTATATGAAAAAAAGTACAGGTACAATTTTTGCACAATGGAAAACCAAACAAAGGTGAGTCGAGCTGGTACTGTGCAGTGGAAAAGGGGCTTAACTAAAATCAAAGGGCCTCCGCTCAGACTAGCTTGATTTGAGGGCGTGCCCGACCCCGCTAGCTGCTTGGCAAGCTTTATGACGCGTTTTCATTGTGACATCACAGTGAAGGAAGGGAAACGAGCTGTTTTAAAGCAGTTCAGAGCAGTGCTTTCTGTGGGAGGTGGGAACTCCCTTTGGGCTGAGCTTTGGGCTTTTTCACTTTGCAAACCTGTTACATACACAAAAAAGAGATATAACTCAATAAAGGAGAGGGAAAAGCCAAAAAAAAAAAGAAGCATAATACCACCTCTTTAAGTCTACCTGCCCTATACTTACTGTGCATTACGTTATTGCTCTGCTGGTATCTCCCATAGACCATTTGACCAACACAGTTTGGGACTGCACACTGCATGTGAAACCAGTTTTTAGATGTTTATATTGCAAAACTCTACCAGCTACGTTACTACTCGTTACTGTCAGAACTGTCTGGACTTACAGCACGAGGTGCGCTTGATTACTATCGCCTTGTCACATTAGCTGGGCAGAGTTGATTCGCGATGAGTGGAAAACTTTCTCTTGAGGCGACATGTCGCGCCTTGGGCAACAGCCTATGCCACGGGCGCAACATGTCGCCGCACTGGATAAGGCAGTAACCACCAGAGTAGAATGCAAGAGTGGTTGTTAGGAGAGGGCAGAGCAGTTCATTCTGATACTGAGAGACTGACAAGCTAAAAAAACATGCTCTATTTTTAGCTATCTTAGAAAATAGAAATTTAATCCAGTATTAAGACACTCCAGTCCTGGAAACCCTCAGCTTATAAAAACAAGAAGATCACTTATAAAACACTACTGGTTAATAGAGTAACCTAGTGTATGACTCATCTAAAGCAATAAAACCCAATAGCATTTAAATGACAAAACAGAAGTCATTAAATGAGTAAAGAGACAACACAAGTAGTGTTTGGTTTGTCTGTTCTGGGCTACTGTAGAAAAACAGCAGATTTCATAGAAGAGGACCTGAACAAAAACACACAGATTCTTATTTTCAGCTGATAACAAACTAATGAAAACATACTTGTGGATCTTATATTCAATTTCTGCCAATATCCCCCTAAATCTCACACACTTGAGCCTTAATTAATTAACATAACATTACAAGTATTACATCCACGTTGTCAAGTGACGGCCAGCCGGAGATCCAGAAGGAAAAGGTGGAAGCAGCGAGCCAAGCCGACGTCGATGCTGCCTCTGCCTAAGAACCCTGAGAACCAGTGCTGGAGAGATGGAGACGGGACGATGGAGTAGGGGCGAACATTAATGGTACAGAGAGCTGAAAGAAGGATTCTGGTATGCTAAAACTGAAGATTTTTTTTCTTCAACTGTACCTTTCACACTGAGCTGGTATTGTGGACCAACGAAGGCGCATCATTCTGAAACATGAACTGTGTTTCATCATGAAGTCAGATTTGAAGTTAAGAACTGCTACGTGACCTCCTCTAATTAAACCCGTATTTTTGAGATAATGAATTTACTCAAACCATACAAAAAAGAGGATAATGTCTGTCTGCAAGTGTTTCCTGTCTTTTTTTTCTAATTTAGCAAATACTAAATATAAATGCTGGGAGGAAAAAAACTCAAAATATTGCAAAGAATTTATGCTTGGCTGAGCAAAACTTTTGCAATTGTACAGACTTGAATAGCTTCCTTTTCACTGGAGAGACAAAACATCAGATCTGTGTGGTGTGATGAGGGGACTCTAACCTTCCTTACATTACGACATGAAACAGCTGCATGAAGTTGTTGAACATGCAGACACAACAAAAGATAGTTACGCTGTAGTTTGAGGGTTAGTGTCAAGGCAGGGAAGCAAGTAATAATACAAGTTGTTTGTATCCAAAAATGGTCTAAGAACTGGATATTACACTGGGCAGTTTTGTAGATGTGCATGTAATGTGAAGGTGTATGTGAAGCCTCCATGCGTGCCTACAGCCCGAGTTTGTGTGTGTCTGTGTGTGCGCTCCATGCTGGTGCACCCCCATGAGTCCAGGCCTTTGTCAGGGTAGCGATGACAGCTGAAAATATAACAGATCATCTTTTGGGTCAACCTTCATGTCACACACACACACACACACACACACAAACACACTCACTTAACTATATATGATATAAATTGAGGCAGTGGTGGTATACGTTTACTCAAGTACTGTACATAAGTACAAATTTGAGGTAGCCAGCATGTACTTGAGTTTTTTCATTTCATGCCACTCTTCACCTTTACTCCCCTACATCTCAGTTTTACTTCATTTATCTGACAGCTTCAGTTATTAGTTATTTTACAAATAAGGACTTATATACAAAACAAGAGCTTTTAAAGTATGATAGTTTCTTATAGTTGCTTTTCTTTTCATTATTTAAGTAATTTTAATGTATTTTTAATAACTTTGAGGTTTGGACTGTTGGTTGGAAAAAACAACCATTGCAAAGGTGTTACTTTGGGCTCTGTGTAATTGGGATGTTACACATCTGAATATTTTCTGAATTTTTACAAACAAAACAAAAGTCAGTGGATTAATGGATAATTAAAAATTAGCTCCACCTCAACTATAGCCGTAAAATCCTGCTTTTACATTAATGCATGAGTAACAATAAACAACTGATCAAATGTATTACAGTACCACAGCCATGCAACATTTTAAGTATGAAATACTTTTAAAAACTTTTATTACTTAATTATACTTGCATACTTTTACTTGTTATCAGAGTATTTTTACAGTGAGGTCTTAGTAGAAGTAAAGGATCTAAATACTTCATCCACCACTGGATTCAAGTGACCAAAAGCATCGAACAGATGGGAAGTTATCTGTTTATATTTCTGGTCGTAATACTTTTTAATTTCCGTGAAATGTTATTTATAAACTGCTATTGTGACATCAAATTATTTATAGATTTCTGTGTGCAGAACAACTGTTAAAGTCATCAAGAAATTATAATTTTAGATTAGACTAATCTCTCTAATATCTCTGTAAACACAGAGACCCTTTATTCATGTTTATATTCTTGCTCAGCTGCTATCTCATTGTATCGAAATGTAGCCTTGTTTCTGTCTTTCCCCCTAGTGTCTGTACATTTTCCTCTTGGGTCATCTTTGACTGGCCTTCATGAACAGCCAATCTGTCTGATGTGTAGACTTCAATGCATTACCAATGTCACACTGGAATCTAAAGTCCATAATTTGCACTCTAATCTGTGGAGCCAGTGAGTTCTTATTAACATATTCCCAGAGAACAATATTGTCTGCTAGCCTGACACCTGTCTCTCCCTTATCAGTCCAACTGTTGTCACCCTAGAGCTACAGCTAGAAGGTCAATGAACACACAAATGTAGGGTCTGTTAATGACTCCAAGTGAGACCTGCCTTACCTTTTCTGTTACATGAATTAAGCACCTTAAAAATTATCTTTATCAGCTGTATATGTATATGTGCGTTTGTGGTAAATTGTATAGCGGTGACGCTCTTCCAACTGCGCACCAGGGGGCAAAGTCAGGAATCACAGTGGTAACACAGGTGAGCAGCGGTGGAGAATTAAGATCTGAGGAAGCCACACAGTTTTTCAACAGTGCATGTGTGTATATTCGTGATGGACTTTGTCATGTCCTATATACCGTTAGTATCGTGTTTATTGTTTTTTTCATGCAACCAGCGATGTTTTGTAAGTCATTTAAATCTGCTTAAAATAAAGTGTTAACCGCATGACATGGCATTTCTGATTTTTTGCACTATAACGCGTTGGAGAAGAATTCAAATTCCCTCAAGTGGCTTGATTGCGGTACGATCGCCACTACAGACCCAGTGTACACTACCTACATCTGACGCTGATATGCCAATTATGTGTTCATAACCTGGTCACCAACAATGAAAGTTACAGTTAATTTTCTTACATTTTCTAACATTGTATGGCATAACAGACAGGCAATACAAGAATTTCAGCACTCAGACACAGACTAAATAAGTACAAATTGTATGACAATCAATAACTCAAAAATAAATAAATAAAATGTTTAATTAAGTACTGCCATCTAGTAGGATTGCCTTTCATCATTTTTTTGTGAAGGGACTATGTCACTATTTCTCTTTTAAAGATTTTTAATAAAGATTTTTTTTGGTACATCTGCTTAATAGAAAATACAGACACTGAAGACAGCAATCAAGTGAAGGAAGATAAAGTATCTGGCACTCTCTCAATTTTCTCCCCTCCCGGAAAGATATTTAAGTACATATGGAGTCCTTTCAATATTGTCTTTACAACAGGTAAAAATATCAGGATGTTTAGCGCAAAATTTGCTCACTCAAATGTCTCACATTCAAACATGCAATCACACTTATTAGTTATTTTGAACAAAGAAACATGAATAGCACTTTGTCTGAGTGAAATTATTGCTTTTTCTCCCCTTACTTTCAGCATTTAGTACTGTTAATTGTAGTTATTTCATGCTTCATTTGTTTAGATGTTAATAATATAGCAGTTTTAAAAGTTTTTCATCTTGCCATAGGCATCTGCTCTGGAGTTTATCTAATCGTATCTGGGAGGGAGATGCCCAGAACATTCAGAGGATTATGGTGAAAAAAAGGTGATCAAACACCACAGAGAATTAAAATAAGATACAGCAACACTCAGTCATTGCTATATGTACTAATGGAACTTTCTTACATTTCTGAGGCCTTGGTCTCCAAATTTTATTTTATTTATTTGTTGTTTATTTGAATAGGGACAGATACAAAAAAACATAGATTATTACACAAAAAAACAACGCTTGTATCACAGTGTTTATAGCCGTGGCTAATTCGCAACACCTGTCCCTTGTGTTGCGAATTAGAAACAGTTAAGATCTCAAAACAGTTAAGATAATGAAGGAGTAAAAATTTACAGTGAATAAAATAAAATGTCCAGAAACCAGTTAGCACCAATAAAAGTTAGTGTAGTAAAGAAACACATTCACTCGAACTCACACAGATGCAAACCTCACATGCACACAGATATACATTTCACATGGCATGATCACAGTGCTGCTGCTGTTTGAGCCAAGCTTTTGTTTGTTTTTTGAAAGTGGACACTTTAGTTAAAGTCTTTATATTTGTAGGAAGGCAGTTCCACAGATTGGCTCCTTTCACAGAAAAAACATTTTGGGCAAAAGATGTTTCACGAAATGGAACTTTACAGTCTCCACATGTAGCAGCTCTTGTTGATCTGGAGGGTTCAAGCCTGTTCAAAAATTTACAAAGTGGCTCAGGTGCAAGTCCAGTCAAACATTTAAAAACAACTTTATATGTCTAAGATTATCAAAATTAACAAAGTTTAAGATTTTACGTTTACTTAAAATGTAACAGTGATGGAATCGAATGGGCTTTTTATCTCGGTTATAAAGCCTCTCAATAGGCTTTAAGGTAGTTTGGCTGGTCTGGGATCAAACAGTGGTGCAGTACGACAGGTGGGACAGGATCATAGTGTTCAGAAAGACATGAGCACATTCAAATGTTAGACCGCTCCTGATCATTCTGAAACAGTTCATACTGGCCTTCATTTTTCTTGAGATGTTTTTGATATGACTTTTAAAATTTAGCTGAGAATCTAAAATCACTCCTAAATATTTTTCTTGTTCTACCTGATCCATGAGTTCGCCATTCATTTTGATGTTAAGGTCATTTGTTGTCCGAGTGAAAGTATTAGCCTACCTGACTTAAGATTGAGTCTGTGGACAAATATACTGTATAATAATAATGAGGTTAAGGGTTAAAACATGACTGTTAAGACAAATATATTGTCAATACAAACCTACCTCGCCGAAATTAATGCCACATCACAAAATATTAACAAGAATTAAAAAATGATGGTCTGTTCAAAAGAAAAGTGCCTGCACAATAATGAAATACTTTTCACAAACACTTGTCAGTAAGGGCTGCCTGCAGCTATCAATTATTTTCATTATTGACTGATCATCTGCCACAATTCCTGAATCCTAATTTTAATATTAGAATTTGAATAATTACAATAGTTTTTTTTTTTGGATTGATTAATTGGGATCTCACTGGTCATTTCAGCTCTAGTGTAAATTTCTCAATTTATTCTTTATGATTATTGATTCCAATACAAATGCTATGTTTAAATACAACCTCGATCCAGCCAATTGTAGCTTGATGCAAACGAATTCTGCAACCAAAAAACTAAACACAAGATACACATACAAAGCAATCTCAGGGCCAGCTGTTCTCATCTGTAACATCACCAGGTGTGGCCCTCTCTAACTTCAAGAAGCTCTTGAAAACCATATGAAAACTCATCTCTTGCAAACATTTCCTCTAACCCCTTACCTCTAACATGCATTTCCTGCTCTTCTTCTATCTCCTTATAATTGGTTGCACTATTTTGTTAACTCTTACTTCTTTCCCTAGACAGGCTATTTACTCTATTGATGCTGTATACGCGAATAGCTCTTACAGTATTGATGCTTCTTGATCATTGCATGTTGTAAATATAATGGTTTGATATCAGGAACAGTGATTTTAGATGTTGGTATTGACAAAAAAAAATTTGCATGGAAAACTAAACATGAACAAAAAGGGAAACATTGTCACTGAAACACACAACAAAGTTTTATTGGCTTTGAAACGAATGATTATTGGATTATGTGTATCCGATTTCAGATGAACTTCAATCAGCTGCGCTTTTATTCTGAAGGCTGGACACCAACAACGGAAGTTTATCTAATTTCTTTCCTGTTAACAACCCGAAGATGAGTTTTTTTTTATGGTTTAAACGCAACGAAGCTACAAGGTAAGCAACACAAATGCTTTTTATAAAAAGACGAAGCGGAGCTCTACGTAGATATAGTCGCTACAGTTTGTCAACCTGAAACCGTGTTTAACGCTTGTTTGGAAACTTGTCCTCCTGAAGACTTAACATTACCGTTTGCGGTTGCTGGCAGGAACACGCGACACTTGTTTAGGTGAGTTCGTTTCTCTTTGGCTCGCAGACAGTTAGAAAGGCTGTCAGTCTTTCAGATGACTTTGTTTTATTTCTATTTGGCGAAGTCCGTGCATGTCACGAGTAAACCTCCTGTGACATTACCCAGCCCGGGGGGCGTGGTCCTCACTCCTCAACCCTCGGGAATTAAGTTCAGCAGCCAAATTCACAAGTTTAAAGATGAAAATCCGAGTGAATTATCATCGTCGGCGATGAAAATTATATTTGCATATTTGCCAACCTGCAGGCATGTCATAGCCAGTATTTTGAGACTGGTAGCTGTGGTAATTTCTTTCTTACAAAAAAGATTAACACAATGATAATTAGGTAAAATATCCCCAAATCCTTAGAGAACATCTCTATTTGCTTTGGTGCTCATGTGGGCTGCCTATTTGTGCTACCAATCCTCTTAGATAATTTAAGAACAATAAACACTGCAATAATAAGGACGGGAAGCTCCGGCTTCCTCTCGATGCAAGGTGTGAGATTAAACTATTAACACACACATTTATATTCGCTTTCAAAACGTGACATGCCCAAACTTCTGCGCACAGAATCAGTTAAGACATTTTCCTTAGCAAAAAATGAAGGAGCCATCAGGTCATATAGACTATGTTCAAAATAAATATGGATGGATGAGCGATGAAATCAGTCTTTTCTGGGTCATTGTGCTGCTGAATATTTTGGAATGACAAGATTTTCTAATTTCTTTTGCTCTCTAATGCTGCGCCTTCATGTATCAGGATCTTTGAGTGTACAGGAAATGTGATTATTACCAATATATTTCAGTGATACCTCATTAATGACTAATTCATTGATCATTAATGGAAAAATACCTCTTCGTTTTATGTTATTGCAAATAAGAATTACAGTATTGTATTTGTTATTGTTAAGAGCATATTATGTTTTGGTTTAATTCAAAGACTTATTAGGTCTATGTATATTGTCAATAATTTTTATTTATATAAAAATGTATAAGCTAAAGCTTCTCCCTTTTGTTATACTCTATTTTATGCACTGTTCTGCACTTCGAAATTATGGCTAATTGTTTGGATGAACTTGAGAAATGAGTGTTCGAACAAAGAGCAAAAGATACCGCAGTTGTGCACCTGTAGTGGAATTTGCTTACATGGGGTTCATATTCCTAATGTGTGGTTTTGCATATGACAGCCTCTTGCTGAACTTTGAGTGAATCTTTGTACTTCATACATTCTTGCACTCCAAGTCCCTTTTTACATCTACTGTGCAGGCTGCCTGCAGGTTGAGCTATTCTAACCTGAGGTAACCTTAGCGACCCTGCCAAGCTCCTCGATCTCCTTTAATGTTTTCGTGTGTGTACTGGTTTAAGACCTAGCCCAGCACCTCAAGCAGTGCTGAATGCTAGGCCTGAGCAATTTATAAAGACAAGCTTGGATTTAAACTTCATTTCCACCACAATGCTCTATTTTTTTTTGACAGTGAAAGTGATTTAAAGCTAGGACTTTCCACCTAGGCCTCACTATTCTCATGTATCTACTGCAGCGAATATGATTTGTATAAATGGTAAATGGTCTGTATTTGTATAGTGCCTTTCTAGACTTCTGACCACTCAAAGTGCTTTTACACTACGTCACATTCACCTATTCACACACATTCATACAATGAGACTAAATGCTCAGAATGCAAACTAACACAATGTTAGTTCAGTATCTTGCCCAAGGACACTTTGACGTGCAGCCTGGAGGAGCCAGAGATTGAACTGCCGCTCTTCAGATTAACGGGCAACCCGCTCCACCTCCTGAGGTAAAGCCGCCACTACATTATAGCCACCAATGAAAAAAATACATTAAAGAAAGAATATTTTTTGCATGATCACGTCATGCTGAGTTTGATCTCAGTAGAGCAAAATTAGTACCTGCAGCAGGCTCCTGCGTTTTTGTTGCAGCCTCCTACACACTACACATTATGACAAATGAATACTTTTAAACTGTGGCAATCAAACTCTGACAGTACTGTCAAAACACATAAAATAATTGTCAATGAGCCACTGGAAGAGTAGAATACAAGTGGTAATATTCTGCCCACAACGCAATACTGAAGGCATGGACTTAATGATCAGTCATTCTCCTTCCTTTTGTGTATAATGTAGGCTGTAGTAAAATACGAAGCACCCACTCAGACTTCTTTATTTGCCATTAAGTGCTTGACTGCACCATGTTTAACTTACATTGCTGAGCGACCAGTCCAACGTTTTTGCATGTCTAACTGTTAGACAGGTGATACCTTAATGCTGTCTGAAACCCCACTTTCAGATTTGTAAAACCTTTAATATATTTGTGAAAATACTGTAAATTTCCAATTTCACTGCCTTTTTCACATGTTGACCACATTGGATAGGGTCCAGATCAAAAACCACTATAGACCTGTAAAATGTGATTGTCACAGAGAGGCTGAAGTTTCAGGAGATTCAGGGTAATCTAAAGGAGGTTTGGCAAATTAAACTATAAACCGTAACATTGTATGAAAAGTACAAAATATTTTTCATATTTGTCCTAAAACTTATGTCAGAGGTGCTTTCACACATATTTACTGATAAGACTACAAAGGCAATTCATCTTCGGACACCTAAGCAGCTAAATTAAGTAATTAACCAATGCTGTGTTAGGTATGTAATGGGTTTGGAGGTCTTGTGTTTAAGTTATTTTTTTGACTAGATAATAGGGCTCTTTTATATCCGACATTTTGACTTTGATTAGAATGAAAATCACAGGTGCTACTAATAACACTACCAATGGCTTGGGTGTAATCCAGTATCCCAGGTGAGCCAGCAGGCACAATACCAGTGTTCACATCAACAAACTCATATTATTCTGAAAGATTTGTCACTTATATGACATGTCAGTCTGAACCTTAAACTAGGCCAGATTAAGGCTTTTTATTTCTGCTGTCGCAGGGCCGGCCCTGGCCAATTTGCTGCCCTAGGCAAGATTTCACCTGATGCCCCTGGATTTTTGTTCATAAACTTACACAGAAACAAACTGCACAGGTTTGTCTTGTTTTTCTTTATTTTGAAAATATTTTGGAAACACAAACACACAACGTATTATAGATACAATATAAATATGTATATATTATATTATGTTATTGCAGAAAAAACTATATTACAGAAACCTTGCTTTCCTTTGCTTTCCTTGCCTTTCTTACAGCATATGTAACATTCCAAAAATTATAAATAAGACCATTGCACAAAAAATAAATAACTATTCTATTCTTGAGCCATTGTAGATCTCAGGTAGTTTTTAAATCAGTTTGAGCTTAGAGAAGCTCCTTTCAGCAGCAGCGACTGTCACAGGTAGAGTGGCAGAGATTCTCAGAGCGACCCACATATTGGGGAAAATTTCCATCAGCTTCTTCTCGTGCAGGAAAGTCAGGAGCTCAATGTTTGTCATAATTTTTGATGGCAGATGTGGAAAGTTGTGCATTTCTAATACAAGTTTCAATTCAAATTAGCGAACGTTACAGGCATCGTGATCGTCGAACTAACTTAATGCAACACAGATAAACTGATCACACATCATTACCTACCTCTGTCTTTTTCGCGTTTTTCTTCCTCTTCTCTTCTTTTTTTCTTCCCTGGGCACCAGATGGTTTCGGTCTTTTTGACATAATGACAACTTGTCAGTGTCAGTGAATTCGGCCATCCGTCACTCACAATCACACACAGGTAACGGATGGGGTTTTTTTCAGCAGAGCGGGGGCGATGGAGATTGATGCGTCACTCAGTCAGACCGGGGGGATCGGGGATTCAGGAGTCCCCCGGGATTCACGATCGCTTTTTTTAATCCATAATATTTTAGTTGTATTAGTAATAAAAAAATTATTAAAAAAATAATTTGGGCGCACGGGCGCCCCAAGGGGTGGGCGGCGCCCTTAGCATTTGCCTATTCCGCCTATGCCCAGGGCCGGCCCTGTGCTGTCAGGTTAATAATGGCTAAATGTGTTGTCAGTACAGTCATTAAGATAACAGAGAAAGACACACTTATTTTGTTTTCATAGTTTTAAGGATTCTATTACACTGTGAGGAGATTTGCTGCTTTGTACCTGTCGTGCCAGACTCTGACCTTGGATACATTGTTTGGGATAAATAACATTTTTATCTGTGTTTATTCTTTGCAAGAAATGGTTTTCTCTGTGTTATCGCATGTAGGTAAAAGGGCGGGAAAGTTTTATTGGGTCCTTGGAAAGTTTTGGAATGTAATAGCTAGTGTGGGTATTCATTTTTGTAAAACACATGAAAATCTTTTCATGATTCTTGGACCTGTTATAGGTTTGTGAGGTTTTCGGTCTCCTTTTGCCAGTTAAATTGTGTAACTTTTTTTATTTTATATTTTAATTGCCATTATTTTTAAAACTCCAACCCTAGCCCGGACCTGGCCCACGGTGTTCAAGCCCTAGCCCAGCCCCAGCCTGACAACGTCTGCAATATTTTCAGCCTGAGCCCGGGACAGACACCAATATCACTTTAACCTCTCTCTCTGACACATGCTCTCTGATGCATACTCTCTCTGATGTGTGCGCTCTCTGATACACACAAACACACATGGTACTAAGAGGTAAACTAATTAAAGGCCTCAAACATAACTGTCAATGCCACCGACAATCACACTCTGCGCGTATATAGGCTCAATGAAAGTAGTTTGATCCAAGCCTGAAAAAAAAAAAACAAAAAAAAACAAAGGTCTGAGCCCTGGCTGTCAGTGTGTCAGGCCCTATAGGGACCCGACGGGCTTACAGAACTGTAATTGTTTTGAGGCAATTACATTGTAAATCATTTGAATCCTGACAGTGATTCAGTCTAATTCTATTTGATTACACTATCTAAGCTCCAGTAAACTGTGATTTAGAACCACATTGGATCTTCAATCTTATTTGAACTGTTATTCACTACTAGCATTCAGCAATAAGTTTTCAGGAGCGTCTGAATCTTCCATTATGAGTTTTTTAACCTGCAGTGTGAAACATTTGTCTGCCATACTGAGTTGCTGCTGTAGTTACAGATGTTTGCTCCCACCTTCAGCTCTGGCAAACCAATCATTGCTGGGTGGTAAAACACATCACACACAAAAATGCCGCCACAGACACCAGATTTAAAAATTCTGGTAGACTGCGAATACAGAGAGATTTACCTTGCGGTGATAGGCTTAATCAGAATTGTGTGAGCTTGTTTGGCAAAGGCTTGAATGTAACGGATGTTCATTTACATGCAAAAGTCCTTTTTTTTCTTTTTATTTTGCAAGGTGCTTTGTCTGACTGTTGTTACCTCATTTGTTTCCCCATCAGCGATGAGCATGGAAAGGAAATATGTAACTTTGTGTCTGTTGTGGGTTTTTCCTGTTAACCGTGACTGTGCTTAGTAGATTTTTCCTCCTCTCTTCTTTCTTGCCAATGAAGACCAGAAAGTGAAATGGATGGAATGAATGTGTATCCAACATTAAGCACCAGAGTGGACAACTCAATACAAGACCTTCCAGATGATTGATTTTCCAGTCCCATTTTATAACCTTCCTTCCTTTGTTTTTGTTTTTTTTACTTTTCAGCTTTGCATTGTCATCGGAGCATTGTGCTCCTTCTCCTGCTCCAGGGCCCCTAACGAGCCCTCCACTTAGAGGACTCCCAGGGAGCTCACTCCTGATTGGCCAGCAGAGTGTCTCCTTGTGGCTGGCTCAACTAAAAGCTTAAAACCCAGCTAGCACAGAGCGCACAAACAACGCTGTCAGTATTAGCAGCCAAGCCCCAACCTGGACAGCCAACTCCAACACACCTGCTGCCTACACCCCTCCCTGACTGCCCCAGCCATCAATGTCCTTAATCTAACCCATATGCCTCTGGGAACCAAAGTTCAACCCAGGGACACAATATGCAGTCCATTCCAGTGTTCGGTGATTATGACTGTGCAGAGCCAAACAAACTTACAGAGTCTAGTCGACCCAAGCACACTTCTGAATCAGCTGCTAACATCCTTCTACGCTATGGACTTGAAAAAGAGGACTTGGACCATCTCATGTTTTACCCTGAAGACCAGCTCACTCCTGATAACCTGCCGTTCATCTTGCGGCAAATCCGCATTCAGAAGGCCAAGAGTGCTACATCAGCAGTTCAGTCAGTACCCTATCCTGAACCCCAACCCACCAGAAGTGTGAGTGGAATGGACAGTCACAGTTTGAGTAGTTCTAGAGGGGCAGGGATGAGCCAGGAGGAAATGTCAACGACTGCTCTCCAGCCGAGTAAAGTGACTGAATATGGACCTACGGGCAAATATAATGGAGGGGTTGGGGATGAGATTGGAAGGACCGGTGACAGTAGAGCTAACAGTGGTGGGAGTGGAAGTATCTTTAGACACAGTCAAGAACCACTGCAAAATATAACAACAGAGGTGGAAAGTACTGCTTTGGGCTCTTCATGTGAGCAGGCAAGTTCTGTTACCAGTCTCAGTTCTTCGTACAGTTCAGTACTGAGCTCTGTGGCTCCCCCAAGAAATGATCCGGACAAACAATTGCAGACCCAACCAAACCAGACCCAAACAATCCTCAGCTTTTCCTCACTGCTAAAGAAAGACACAGACATCAGAGTTCTCAAGACTGAAGACTCCAAACCCGGTCCTTCAAACGAACCAGTGGCAGACCGCCAGTCAGTGTTGAAAACTGGCAGTGATCGCACCAGTGGAATTAAGGATCAGAGTAAAACTCAAGGTCAAGATTCAACAGTTGCTGAGGAGATGAAAAAGCAACAGACCCAGCAGACGCAGAGGCAGCCATCATTGCAGACGGGGCAGGAGATCAGGCCTCCAGTTTTTCCTGCTGCAAAATCAGTTCCCCCTGACCCTCTCATCCCCAGCATCACTGATGGCTCACAGGCCATGCAATGTCCGGTGTTTATCCCTACGCAAGGTCCTCCAGCTCTGCCTCAGCCAATCCCGGATCACATGACGCTGCTGACTTCCAACAGACAGCCTCCAGCAAAGGTGGCAGTCTCCAAGGCTCTGCCATCGCTGGCCATGATACATGACTATGTGGCGGTCTGGCCGAAAATCTTTCCACATACCTGTTCTCTGTGTAACAAAGACTTTCATCATATGAAGGTAAGTGAAAGATGCACTTTGTTCTCTCTGCCATTAGGGAAATGTGGGTTGTTTATTTCAAGATCTAAAATTGTTGTTCTTTTTGATTATAAAATAATTTAAAAAACAGATATTCACTTCATTTTATTTTGTGGAGAAGTTCATAAAGTTTAAGGGCAATACATTTCAGCCTATTTGAAAGGACTTAAATAAAATAGTAAAATAGTCTTTAAATTTAAATGGATCAGCAATTACTATGAAATGCTAGCAAGAAGTCTGCCACCACATATAAGCTATGCACAATTTTGCAAAAACAAGCTTGGATTGCAAACTTTGGGAGAGATTGTTTAACACTGTTAATTGATTTTGATGTACTCAAAATTATTAGTTAAATAAGGACGCCAGTCACAGTTGTTTATCTGTAATTAAGAAAAGATCACAGTGTGTCATTGGTGTTCAACAGCCAGCACCCACCTGCATTATTGCAGAATCCGCAGTTGCATAGGGCCCTGTGAATGCTTATCCATAAAGGGGCTATATCTAATTTTTACTGAAATTAATTTACGTTTTTATTGCTCATTTGTGAATAGGTTGTAACTTCAAATAAAAATGAACAAGTTGCCAGCTTTCTTCCGATGTGAAGAAATCGGGTTGGATTTTCCGCACAATCCATTAGTTAGGCTGTGACGTTCTTGCACGCTCCCAAGCCTCTTGCTTACAGATTTGGTACTATATACAAAACAACACCACAGCTAATGAAAGGGAGTCTGTTAACACAGACGATGATGTCAGTCTCCCAGCACAACACACAAACTCCTCCAGGAGCTGGAGCCCATCAGGCCAAACGATAATCAGATCGATGTCGGGCAAAAACATGGTCAATATCGAAAATGCATTTGAGTCATAGAGAGACCTCCGTTTTGTTTTGGACATGAAAACCGACCCAGATTTGTCTTTCATCCTGTTGGACAGGGAAACAGGCAAAGCACGTGAAATATATTGTGATTTTGTATATTTGTTGGTTGAAGTTAGATTACGTCGACCTATTGCTAACGTTATCCGTTGCAAAATACTATAATTATATCTCTTTCCACATTACTGCACGGACGCAATCCATATTATTATCCTGTGTACCACTGGTATTATGTCAAAGTGTTGATTTTAGCCTGCAAGGAATTATGTAACGGTACAACACAATTATGGAGCGATCTGTTTATACCAGTAGTGATGCAATGAAGGGGCAGCCAGCTAGATTATTATGGATCAGTTGTTGTTTGCTTCGTAACGTTCAATCAGAGGTATTGTTATTTTACTGGTACTCAGGTACACAGCTTCTTCACCAGTCTGAGTTGACATAATTTCATGAACGCACATAATATACAGTAATGCAACATAACGGTGCAGGACAACAACACAGTGGAAGACCCAATCAGTAAGTTATAGTTATGTTACTTAAAACAGTTTAACTGTTATTATAATAATAATAATAATATAAGCACCTTTCAGAACACTCAAGGTCACCTCACAAGACAAAATAAAACAACAGTATAGGAATAAATCAATAAAATTAACAGCAATTACAGTGCATAAAATCAGGGAACATTAACAATTGAAAACAAAAGATTGCTGTCACCATATGAACAGTGATCATGCTGGATATGCCAATTTCAAAAGATGTGTTTTCAGGCGGGATTCAAAGAGGAAAAGTGAGTCAATGTTACGGATATCTGGTGGAAGAGAGTTCCAGAGATGAGGGGCAGAGCAGCTGTAAGGCTCTAAACCCCATGGAGTTCAAACGAGCAGGAGGTGTAGTGAGGTGAATAAAAGATGACCTAAGAGTACGGGTGGGAGTGTTGATATGAAGAAGGTCAGTGAGATACAGATGAGCGAGGTTGTGAATGACCTTGAAGGCGAGGAGCTGAGTCTTGAAATCTATGTGGTGTTCAACTGGGAGCCAATGAAGCTGCTGAAGGACAGGAGTGATATGATTAATAGAAGGGGTTGTGGTGATGATACGGGCAGCAGAGTTCTGAACCACAAGAAAATTACAATAATCAATGCGGGATGTAACCAGTGTGTGAACGGGAATGGCTGTACTAGTAGATGAGCGAGACGGTCGGAGGAGATTAATGTTACGTAAATGGAAGTTACAATGAAGTGCATGGAAAAGTTCCACGTCAGGCTGATAAAAATGTTACTGTAACATTGCAGTGCTCGCTTATTAGTATGAGCATGTTTCTGGGACCCAGAATGGAGGGGCCCCTCCTCAAAGGATAATTCACGTCAAGCAAATCAGCATGCAGCCATACCAAAGTGTACCCTGCTTCTGCTGAATGACCGAATCTAAGCAGATTTGGGCTTGGCTACTACCTGGATGAAGACCTCCTGGGAAAACTAAGCTACTGGAAGAGGTATTGGTGGACCAGTAGGGGTCAGTCCTTCTCTGACCCTAGTAAGATCCCAGCAGTGCAGTGATGGGGACACTGCGCTGTAGGAGATGCAACGTTAAACAGAGGTCATGCCTCAGTGAGGTCATTAAAGATCCCATGACAGAGGTATCATGGCAAAATTCCCAACCTAGCTTTCTCCATCTGGACAGCCAATCATCCCCCAGAGTAATTGGCTCAATGTTTCCCTCCCTCTCCAGCTCAAGCTGATGGTGAGAGTTCCGGCGCAAAATGGCTGCCATGCATCACCCAGGTGCCACACATTGGTGGTGGTTGAGGAGTCCTCCCCACTCCATTTTTGAAGCGCTTTGAGTTTCTATGCTATAGCGAAGATGTAATGCATCATCGATGTCTCTGTTGGTAACCGACTGCATCACCTGAGAGGACACAGATAGGCGTGCATGTGTCTGCATAGAGTATTAGAATAATGCCATATACAGTATAACATTCAGATTATTGCAAAAATGATCCAATTGTCAGTCTGCTGCTGAGTGTTTGCTGGGGGGTTTTCTACCAGCATGTGTTGAGTCAGGACAGAACAGACCCAAACGCAACACTCAGGATTAAACAGGTTTTATTAAAGGGACAATGGGCTGAGGGAGTGGAGGTAAAGGGGAGGTGAACGCCAGGGAACACGGGAACGGAGGACCAAGGAGTAGAGGAGGCCCGGGAGAACTGACCGGAGGAGCAATGACGATCAAGCGGAGATGGCGTGGAGAACCGGGGTTGAAATACTGGTAGAGATGGAGTTGATTGCTGGCAGGTTCGGCAGGCAGAGGAGGCTGCTGATGAGGTGCAGGTGTGGATCGTCAGCTGGGCTCAGGAGCAGAGAGAGAGAGAGGGAGAGCACATACAGGGGAAAACGGAATGGTAGGAAAGAAAAAAAAAAAAAAGGAGAAATAAACAGGACAATCATTGTCAGCCGGGCTGCCACCACGACAAACATGCCTGTCATCAAGAGCTGTTAGCACCTTTATTTTTCATTGATAGTTTAGAAACCTTGACCTTGAGGATGTTGCTGAGATTTCTGATCTAAGGTCTGAGAGTGTAATTGTTAATTAACATATATTGAATGAAGGCATGTTTACTACCAGTGGCTAGTGCATCAGAGAATGATTGAAGGCTGTTTTCCTTTTGTCTCTGTTTTTTTGGCTTTTGTCCCACAGTGTATATTCAGTTTTGATTAAACAAGTCAGTGTATCTTTTTTCACATTATTGGAGCTTTTAGCAAAGCATTTTGTTGCACTTAAATTCATTTTATATGTAACAGTAGTATATCACTTTTTTTGTAATATTATTATGGAGCCAAGATCCCCTTTTGTGTAATTTTAGGTATTTTTGTTTCCCAAAAAGGAATTCCAGTTACTACAATACTAGGAACCCAAAGCCACCAGCAACAATCATACTCATGAACCACACAATCATCAGAGACAAACCTGATTTCACATTTTTTCTAATTTAAAAAAAGACAAGTCTCCTCCTCTCCTCAATTTCCACATCTTCCTGCCTCTACTCCACAGAGTATGTGTTTTTGTCCTGATACATACTTAACAGCATCCTCTGCTGAGATTACCTTCATCAAACCTCTGGAAACTGTACGACGCACATAAAACTTAAAACCCAGCACTATTAAGAAACAGAGAAGAACTCCTCTATTTGTTATAGTTCATGAAAAAGACTTGTTGCCATTGAAATTAAGTTTACTATAAAGTCAAACACATTTACTTCAGTTAATGTCTCAGCTCCTCAGTTGTTTTTAGATGACTGTGGCGGCTGAAGATTTAAAAACATTTTGCCTTTGTAGACCCAAGCTGTGACTTGTACAAGAGCAGAGAAGTTGAATTGGACACTTAGACTGGAAAGACTCCACAGACCAACAAGGGGACACAAACTTTGACTCAAGACTTAAGGCTGCTGTAATGTTGAATAAAATTTGTGCTGTTAGACACAAAATGGCAGTTGAGTTGTGATAATAATCATATCTGAATGCTGTGTGTCTGTTCTGACTAGGATTGGCTCTCCCACCAGAGCACCAGCCTTCACCTTGAGAACTGCAAACTCCTGCGAAAACAGTCAGTGTTTATATTTAAAATAAAGTTATTGTTAATTTGAGCACTTTTTCTGAATGCTTGTGATGAATATCCATCAGGGATGCACCAAAACACAGTTTTTCCCCACAGATACCCAGATTGGAATGGTGGGATAGCACTCGGGCCAAGGTGAATTTCTTTAACTGGGCAGGCACTGTGCAATTTCATTGGTCTTGCATGTTGTGTTAACTCACAATTGGTCTGAGGTGTTCAATTTGGTACTGTAGCAGACTAAAATGTGTCCGAATCCGAACAGTGTCTGCCTGGCTGTAGTTTTCAGACACATAGCATATACACCACTCATGAACCATTCATTTTTACACATTGTGCTTTCCCATCATTCACCAATGCGTTTCTCGTTCATTGTTCTCTTCAGGACTGCAGGTAAGGATGTCAAGCCCTCAGCATCAACTTCTGCAAAGACTTCCCAACATCGTCTACATAAAACAAGGCATGGAAGCAGCTCACGTTCCCGTTCGTCCAGCCCCCGTCGCCCCCATGGCTCAGAGGTTAGAAGGGAGAAATGCAGCAGCCAAGCACGATCGTCGCACAGCTCCAGATCCAATCGCAGGTCTGTCAGACAAATACTGATATGCACAATAACATGGATAATGGATGAACAGATTCCTTTCACCACCAGATTGTGAAATTACCAAATATGTTCCTTCGGACCATTAAAAGAATTATAAGCATCAACATTTATTTTAGCGTCTTTGTTTGATTGCCATTTTATGCATTATGTTTTTGAGTTGTCTGTCTATCTTTCCATCCGTATGTCCCATTTTTGTGAACTTGACATCTCAGGAAAACCTTAATGGAATTTCTGAAATTGGGGACAAATGTCCGCTTGGTTCAAAGTTTGGTTGTCAAGATCACTGTGACCTCAATTACTGAAGAACTGATGACCATATTTCACAGTTGGTTGGACACTGAATAGCCTGTGTATGGATGTAAACTGCAACTTGGCTGGTTGGTGAAGGCATACAAGCACAGGGCGGTAATTCTAGTTTAAATTCTCATTAGATTAATTGAGATATAAATGATTTAATCTGTACTTTCATCAGGTCCCGGTCTCGTTCTCACTCTCCATGCTATGACCGGCAAACCTCTTCCTGCTATCGGTCATGTTTAGGGAGCCCTGAGAGACAATTGTTGCCAAGGAGGAGAGACAAGAAATGGTCCACACCAAGGAAGAATGACGAGCAACGATCCTCTCCAAGGAAGAGCTGTGAGAGACATTCTCCACCAAGGAGGAGAGACGAGAGAAGATCACCACCAAGGAGGAGTGAGGAGAGACAGTCGGCATCAAGTGATGAGAAACAATTGCCGCCAAGGAGGAGTGACAAGAAATGTTCACCAAGGAGAAATGATGAGAGACAATCTTCTTCCAGGAAAAGCAAAGAGAGACAATTTACGCCAAGGAAGAGTGAGAAGAGATGGTCGCCACCAAGGAGGAGCAACAACAGATGGTTCCTGCCAAGGAGAAGTGACAATAGACGATGGCCACAAAGGAGGAGCCGTGAGAGGCGATCGTCCACAGAAGAATCATCCCCTAAACGAAAGAAGTCGAGCAGTGCAGAGAGACTGGCTAAGAAACTACTGGAAACATCAGGTTTGAGAAATTGCAAACATTTTAAGGCCTCTGAGAGTTCAGTAAAGACCATGTTTAAAGAAATCAGGAAATGTTCACATTTGAGAAAATGTAAGCAGAGAATTTTTGAATTTTCTCATTTGTCTCATTAATTTGCAATTAATTTTCTGACGTTTGACTAAAGGATAAATCAATATTTGCCAAAATTGTTTGGCAACATAAAGTTTAATAAATTCAAGTTTTAAGTTAAATAATTTGAACATACTGTACATGTAGATAAAGAAGCACAAATAAAAGGAAATACTTAATGTAAAGAGATGCAAAATCAAATTTTTTAAAAACATTTACCTTAATTAACCTTAGTAAAATTAATAATCAGTCATCTTTACCATGTGTGGCTGTAAAGGGATGTGCATCGTGTGTGGTCAAATCTGTCTGTGCTTCCGGGTATCATCTGAGGAGCCAAAGATTGGTTCCTATTTATGCTGAGATCTCTAATTGGCTTGTACAGATGGTAATGATGGTTATGATGTAACAATCAAAAAAGGTATTATCGATTAGGATAAAATGATAATTAAATCTACATTTCTACAATAGAGACTCTGTATGCTGCAAAAAAATTACACTTTGTTGGTCTTCATCCTCTAGCTGTCCAGTCTCTGTCAAACCAGTCTGACCTGGAGGCCGTAGTTAAAGCTCTGGCTCCTGCTTTACTGGCCGAGCTAGGCAAGATGAAGTCCTCCTCTTCCTCTTTCTCTACAGCAAAGGGGGAGTCATCTACAGATCCCTCTAAAGCAACGCCCAGCCTGCAGAAGAGCATACCAAGTTCTGCTACAAAGACAAAGGTTGGTCTACATGTATACCAGGAGAATTTAACACTTTGATCAAAGACTAAATTGAAAATACTTCTGCATAGGAAGCAGAAAATCATGTCTGAAAAGACAGATGACATTAAGGTTAGATTGGATAGTTTAACACAGATGCATTTTGTCACAAAGCCGCAACAGCTGGTAACCATGGCTTCGGTTCAGCTGTACATGTTTGATCCAGACATACAAACAGAACAACACGAACCAGCTTTGCAACCTAGACAGGAGCAAAAGGTTTCAGAGCTTTAAGTTATTTATTAGTAACACATTTATCTTTCATTTGTAATGTTTTAACTGTGTGTCACTTTAGCACAGTAACAACTTAATGTCCATTGACGTTTGGTACGGACGATGGGGGTGAAGGGAGGCAGTGGGCAGACGTCTTGTCACTGCATGTGTTGCAGCTCAGTGTGTTTTTTGTTATGGCAATTTATATCTTATAGCATTATTGTATGTTTCTTATACCGTTTGATGTCATTCATGGATCAAGATCATTATGTACTTTAGCACTTTGCACTGTCAGCACTGTCAGCTCCACTACTGCTCTTTTGGGTGCACTTTTCTGCTGGTCTATTTTCATACATGCTAATGACCCAGGGCCCCTATCTGGCCTAATAGGTGTCAGATAAAGTTCCTGTTTTCCAACTTTTTGTTTTTGTAACTGTCACTCAAACAATCATTTTTCTGCACAGCAGCAGATGCTAAAAACAACTTCACTCCACAGCTCTATAAAACACACACACACACACACTTTCCACCCCTTTGTACTCTCCTACGGACTGCTCTGTACTCTGTATGATTTGTACCTCTGCGGCCTTAGAATAAATATGACAAAGACAACTCTGTGTTCAGGACCAACTTTACTTCACATTTCCAGAACGGTTAATTTCCATTACATTTTCCACCAGTGTTTTTGTGGGCGTGCAACACTAGCCACTATGCGAGCATTATGGCGCGTTTTACAAAGTAAAAGCTGGACAACAATCAAGCTGTTTTCAGGCAGTTCAGAGCAGTGTTTTCGGTGGGAGATGGGAACTCCCTTTGGGTAGGCTTTTTTCACTTTGCAAACCTATTACATGCACAAAAAAATATATATAACTCAATAAAGGAAAAATAATTGCCAAAAAGCATAATATGACCTCTTTAACGTGTGCATAAATGCAACAGTTCCTCTCGGTCAGTCTAAAGAAAATAAACTCCAGATGCAAACAAATTAAAGAGAGTAAATAGCCTGGATGTGAAAGGAATAACAAGCACTGTTGTCAGAGAACGGGTATTTTTTCTTTCTTTTTCTGTCTTTCTCTCTTGTCCCTGGTAAATGTACATATTAACACCACATGTCTGTTATCAGATTAATCTGAAATAAGAAATCTCAATTTGTTTTACAGGAAACTGATTCTAAGGAGCAAAAGCAGCCTCCTCAGAAGTAAGATGTCTTTCACACAGATATCTTTTTTAACAGTGATAGAAGCTAGAGGGGTTTTTCTTGTTTTTGTCAATATAGTGCTATAAATATTTAGTTGGTGCTTAAAAGCCCAGTATGTAATATTTTTTGGAGGATCATTTGACAGAAATGCAATTTAATTTACATAACTATGTTTTCAATGGTGTATAAATACCTTACATAATGAACAGTTATGTTTTTATTAACTAAGTATGCGCCATTTCTACACACACCACATGCTAAAACATGGAATAAAACTCATCCCAGGAATTCAACCTGTAGGATAGTACTTCTTATAGTGAGAACATATAAAAACGTTCAAACCATGAACTTGACTTCACATTGCTCCATATTCCCTTGCTTAATCCTTGGAACTCTTATTTTGTTAACAGAAAACCTGCCACATCCGGTGATGCCACACCTCAAACCGCTACATCCACAACCACCTCTAGAAAGGTTGTTCTCAAAAAAGCTGCAAGAGGCAAACTTGCCTCTCAGAAGATTGCAGCTAAAGCGTCAGTTAAAGGCACGGCTTTCATTAAATCAGTACCAAGCATAACCAAGCAGATGGTTAAAACGGCAAAAACGGGAAAGTGTCCTGTGAAGGGAGCTGTGAAAAAGACTGTGGTAAAGCATATTAGTTCCAAGTCCACTGCTCAAGGAAAGATGACCAAGACAGAGTCTTCGCAAATGCAACCGCAGGCTGCAGGACACCCAGCTGAAGCTGCTGTGGAGGCAAAGCTGCCAGGTAGAGGGTTGGAGATAAAGACAGTGCAAAAAAGTATGTTTGAGACACTTTTTTGTTTGTAGAATTTTTTTAGGATTGTTTAAGGATTATGCTGGCAATATCCTATATAAATATATAAAATGTTTTAATTAAAGCTAAATCACTTCCTAAAATATTTGTAGTAGTAAAAAATATTACTCAAACAGGAGGAAATGGTGTTTTTTAAACTGCACATCTCAGCAACTTAGGTTTTCATCAGCTTATGATGTAACAATCAAGAAAGCTGATATCACTATAACATTATAATTAACTCAACATTTTTTACAATACCAACTCTGTATGAGACTTTGCAAACACCAGGATGCTGCAATTTGTCTGACACTTTGTGTGTTGGTCTTCATCCCTCTAGCTTTCCAGTCTCTGTCAAAACAGTCTGCTCCTGATTTACGGGATGAGCTAGACAAGATGAGATTCTCCTCTTCCTCCTCTACAGCAAAGGAGGAGTCATCTGTAGATCCCTCTAAAGCAACACCCAGCCTGCAGAAGAGCGTACCAAGTTCTACCACAACGACAAAGGTTTGTGTGTGTGTGTGCCTGGAAAATGTAATATTTTAAAGAGTTTAAAGACTAGACTGGAAATTAAACTTTATTTCTACATACGAAGCAGAAAAACGTGTCTGAAACTAGAGGTGACCATTAAGGTTTCACTGGACAGTTTAAACACAGATGCATTTTGTCTTTCATCTGTTAATGAGGACCAACACTACATTTGTCTCATAAGTTGTTTTTTTTTTCGCTCTCTTTGTTCAGTCTGGTAAATCTTCACTTCCAACCACAGTGAGAATCGAAGGGATTAGTAGTTGTGTCCCACGCAATGATGTGATTGTTTCTTTGGAGCACTTTGGAAAAACTAAGTCAATTTTACTGTTTGAGTCACAACGGGAGGTATGTATAGAGAGAGTGAAGACTGATTGTTTTTGCTATCCAGGCCTATATTTGCTAATGTTAAACAAATATAGCTTTCCCTTGACCATGTTTTGCTTTTGTTTTGTTATTTGGTATGATGCTTTTATCCAAAGTATTTCTGTTAGATAACCAAGGGAATCAAACCCCTAAACCTTCAATCCTGGAAGTCTGTATCCAGGCCTAGAGATGTGTTTGTGTTGACCACTGTGTGTTATTGGTTAAAACAAACATAACTCACCCAAACTCACCAAAGTCTCTACAGTTCACTATTAAACAGTTTATATTAAATTGAATTAAAAAATATTCTCCTAGACCCTCTAAATATATAAAGCTGCAACTGACAGTTATCAATTAATCTGCTAATTTTATAATTATTGTAAATATTTGGTTAGAAATAAGTGAAAATGGCCATCACAATTTGTCAGAGAGTAAGGTGACGTCATCACGTGAAATTTTGTTCAGCTAATGATCTGTGCAAAAGCAGGCTACAGGACAGCCAACTGAAGCTGCTGAGGAAGCAGTGCTGCCAGGTGGAGGGGTGGAGACAAAAACAGTTCAAAAAGGTACTTTGTAGACCTTTTGCCATGAATGTATGGTGAAATATGTTAAAATGTTGTGTTTGTAGAAAATGTTTTTGGTTAGCAATATTCTATATTTTTGTTATTGTCAACAGCTCCCATGAATAGACCAAAACAACTATGTGTTAGTCTGTCCCTCCATGCTTTCTGACTTACCCAGTCTGTCTGTTGGTCAAAGCACCGAGTACAGTGGTTACTAATAAACATATGGTTCACATTGATTTCTACTAAAGACGTGGCTGTTTAGCAAATGTTACTCAAACGGGAGGAAATGGTTGCATCTTTACTGCACTTTCCAGTTATTTAGGTTTTCCCAAAGAAAACATATATACATGATATATGATGTAACAATCAGGAAAACTGTTATCTCTATTATTTGATATTTAACTCAACATTTCTTGCAGTATCAACTCTGTATGAAACTTTGCAAACACCAGAATGCTTTTGTGTGACACTTTGTGTGTTGGTCTTCATCCCTCTAGCTGTCCAGTCTCTGTCAGAACAGTCTCACATGGAGGCCGTGGTTAAAGCTCTGGCTCCTGATTTACGGGATGAGCTTGACAAGATGAAATTTTCCTCTTCCTCATCCTCCTCCTATACAGCAAAGGAGGAGTCATCTGTAGATCCCCATAAAGCAACGCCCAGCCTGCAGAAGAGCGTACCAAGTTCTACCACAACAAAGGTTTGTGTGTGTGTGCCTGAAAAATTTAACTCTTTGATCAATGATTAAACAAAAAAAATATGAAATATACCATCATGTCTGATAGTACCGATGACATTAGGATTTGATTGGACAGTTTAAACACGGATGCATTTCTGTCTTTTGTCCGTTAATGATAACCAACACTACATTTGGTTTAAGTTTGTGTTTCCGTCTCTCTTTGTTTAGTTTGGTAAATCTTCACCTCCAACCATGGTGAGACTCAAAGAGATTTGTAGTTCTCTCTCACACAGTGATGTGATTGTTGCTGTGGAGCACTTTGGAAAAACAAAGTCGGTTTTACTTTTTCGGTCCAAACTGGAGGTATGTATAGAGAAAGCGAATAGTAGTTTTCCTTGACCATGTTTTGCTTTTGTTTTGTTGTTCGGTGTGATGCTTTTATCCATAGTATTACTGTTAAATAAACAAGGGAATCAAACCCCTAAACCTTCAAGCCCATTTTTGTAATCGATTAGTCTGCTGATTTGATTATTTTTGGAATTTAACATAGAAAATATAAAATTTAACATATAAAATATAAAATTTGAGACTTTTATGTGTGACATCTTCAAATCAAATTTAGTTTAATGGTCCAAAATACAGAGGTAATCAATTAATTATCCTAGAAAAACAGCATATATTCACATTTGAGAAGCTTGAACACCTACATGCAGGAAAAGGTCCACGGGGGTTTTCTGAGACAAGGTGTAAGTGATAGCTTAGCCCGCCCCCCAGAACAACTGAATTTTTGCTGTTTTTGAAAAAAATGGTTTCAATATTGTTGCTGTTTAACTAATTGAGCAATTTATCATCTATCTTTAACATCTTTTTTTACTGAGCAGTTGTATTTCACAAACATCACAACAATACAATCTGTGCTTATTTCTCAGCCTGTAGCATTGGGGTCATCCCAAAGACTTGGCAAACAGTAAGAACAAACAACAAGAATCAGCAAAATAAGATAGTATTAAGTAATTATTGTTGTATAAAATAAATAAAAATAAATAGGACAAAAAATTGGTATGGTAAAATACTGAGTTGACCAAAGATCCACCGTCCATCTTTCCCTTTATCTCTCAATGTTATTTCTTCATCATTCCCCTCATATCCCCACTAGCCCTCCCTTATTCATCTCAGTCCCTTCTACCATCTTCCCCCCTGCAGCGACCTTCATTAATTTATATTGAATCATATAAAAGTGTGATGCATGCTAAAATTTGGAGTGCTACATTGGATTAATGGTTGCGAAGTATGATATGAAAGGTTTCCAGGTCTTATTGAATTGTAGGAGCTTATGTGCTGGAGCACATCTTATCCTTTCCAAATAAAGGGTGTTAGTCAGGTCCTCTAGCCACATCTTAGAAGTAGGGACAGTTGCATCTTTCCATACCTTGAGAATTAATTTCTTTGCCGATATGAGGCAGAGGGAAAGAAAACGTTGGTGTTCTGTGTTTAATCTTTTGAATGTCTCAGATTTGCCAAGAGTAATAAGCAAAGGCTCTGGCTCAGTGGGTATTCATAACCTCCGACATAATGCTACATATATCTATCCAAAAAGATTGGGTCTTGGGGCAGAGAAGAAAACTATGAAGGAGGGTTGCCAATGAAATGTGACATTCGCACACAGGTGACTCAAGGGTAAATGCTATGCAGTTTCTCTTAGGAATAATTGTGCATAATTTATGTAATAATAATGTGTATAATTTTAAATTGCATGAGACAATGTCTTGTCTATGAAGATTCTCAGTCATCCAGGTCATAGTTATCCAATGAAGGTTAAAATGAAGGGCAACTGACAATGTCTTGCATTATTTGAGCAGGTATGTATGTTCTTCAACCTCTGCTCCCATAGGTCATCTGGAATTTGTTCCACAAGCTCCTTTTTCCACTTGGATTTATAAGATTCAGAGGAGGGGGACCATAATTAAAGCAGAGAATTGTATATGCGGGAAATCAACTAATTTTCATTTGGTGATCGTCTCAGACAATAATCTATAGATGATTGCGTTTCAGACTCAAAACCTTTAAATGTTTCCATATGTAATCCCTGATTTGTAGGTAGCGGAAGAAGTTGCCATTATCCAGTCCATATTTCCTCTGTAGCTGTATAAAGGAAGCAAGCTATTAATGTTTTGTGTCCAAATGTATTGAATAGATGGTCCTGAGAGTCGTAGTAATGCAAAGGTGTGTGTGTGTGTGTGTGTGTGTGTGTGTGTGTGTGTGTGTGTGCGTGTACATGTAGGCAATCGTGTGTTTTGAGAAAGCAGAAGACGCTAACAAATTGAAGAGCGCAAAGAGCCTCAATGTTAAAGGAACAGTAATCACTGTTGTCAGAGAAAAGGTATTACTCTTTGTCTGTCTTTCTCTGTCCCTGGTTAATGTACATGTTAACATGTGTCTGTTGTCATGTGGTGTCAAATATCAGATTAATCTAAATTAGCACATCTTAATTTGTTTGTTTACAGGAGACTGATTCTAAGGAGCAAAGGCAGCCTGCTCAGAAGTAAGATATCTTTCACACAGACATCTCTTTTAACATCCTGTAGAAAAAGCTTATTTAACGGCGCTGCATTTAACTAGCCGTGAACATGAACGATTTTCTGGTTTGCAATTATTTCTGGTTTTCTTTGACCATTTACAGTGTTTTCAGTTCATGAAAGTTAAATGTAACATTTTGGACACCTAAAATGCATTGTTCAGCCTTTAGTTTAGGAGTCAACTGTTAATTTTTAATACCGATAAGTACATTTTGATTTAGGCTAAGCCTGTCTACAAGATAATGTGTCCATCCCCTGTATGTTAAATGTCTTTCATATAATTAATTTAAGAACAACTTATACTAAAACATATAATAAAAGTCATCCCAGAAATTCAACTTTAAGGACAGTATTATCTTAAAGTGAAGGACATATAAAAACATGACTTTGACTTTACATTGCTCCATTTTCTCCTGCTTGACCCATGTAACTCCACTTCCAGTGTCTCCACACCTCAAACCACTACATCCACAACCACCACTAAAAAGGTTGTTTCCTCTGAACCTAACAGGCCTCCACTTAAAGAGCCTTTACCCTCCGGAGCCAAAGAGGCAACTACAAGCAAACTTACCAAGACAGAGGCTTCACAAATGCAACAGCAGGCTGCAAGACACCCAGCTGAAGCTGCTGTGGAGGCAAAGATGCCAGGTAGAGGGTTAGAGACAAACACAGTGCAAAAAGGTGTGTTTGTTACATTTTAATGGATAGATAGTGAAGTATGTGGCGTTTGTAGAAAATGTTTAAAGGATAAGGCAATATTCTATATATATTTTTTATTAACTTATCATGTAACAGCTCCAATGAAAAGACCAAAACCAACAATATGTTTGTCTGTCCCTCTGTGCTTTCTGACTTTACCAGCCTGTCATTTGGTCCCAAGCCCCAAATACAGTGGTTACTAATAAACATGTGGTTTGTGGCTATATTTATTTATTTATTATTTGTAATTAAAGCTAAATCACAGTGACTGTGATTAATAGACATTTTGTGAGTATTTGTGGAAGGAGGACTATGTATGTGGGACTGACTCAAAATAAACTACAGTGTGTCTCTCAGCAACAGTGCAACAGTCCGACTTATTCATGTGTTTTTAGTAGTTTTGGACAACAATGGAGCTGTGTGGCCCAGAGGAAGAAGAGATATCAGGCATTGATTTCCACACAATATTTAATCGTATTCAATCATTAATTGTTGCATTTGGTCTTTTCATGGGATTGGTTAAAAAGTTAAAAACTCCAAAATGCCAACTTTCTAGCTGACACAGTATTTTTTTAAATAGGTTTATTTAGCTCATAAAGTAAAATTTTCTCATGCTGTGATGGAACACTCAAACGTTCATTTTATCTGATAAATGGAGGATATGTTCAAAGATGTGTTTTTCTTTGGACAAACCACGCTTATATAATTTTGTATAACTTGTAGGCCTATCATTACATCAACAACACATTCAATCCCACAGAACATTATTGTTAAGTAAAAAATTTCTATTAAATGTAGATCGTACTTGCATAGTTCACCTTGCCAAATATCTTTAGTTAAGAAGATATCTAAGAAATGTCTTTCAAATGTTCTTTGAAATACAGCAGGTGTAAAATTAGGGGGTTATGCCGAATTTTGCATGCCTGCTGAGAATTGCATGAAAATGCATTAAAGTTCTGCTTTTAAATGCTATACTATTCTTTGTGGGTTCATCAATAGTGATAAATGATCAGCATATACTTAATGAACGTTAAGAATCGTCAATATTATTATTTATTATTACACTTAGTAAAAGTACAACTTCTTGAGATTCACCAAAAATATGTGGCGTTAACTGCATTCAAACAATGTGAACAGCAAAGTATCTGAAAAGGACTTTTTGTAAGTGAATGCATAATTCGGCAAAACAGATAATGTAGGCTACCTGCAGAAATTTGCATCCACCTCGAGGTGTATGCAATTCACGGCAGGCACAACACCTGCGCTGCAAATCATCACTAGACCTCGTGGGATCAAGGCCTGATCATTGTTGTAAGCTCAACCGGAGGTCGATTGTGTCTGACTTGACGGCGCTGTTTTTATTCCTGTATCTATCAAGTCGGCGAAAGTCAGCCAGTTATCTCGAACGCACCTGTTGACTCCCAGTTATACAGCGTGCTAACTTCGACAGCTGTTTTCCAAAGTTAACATAGCTCTCCTTATTAGCTAGCCTCCTTACATGCTTGCTAATAACTGTTTTGAAGATGGGTCTCCGACATTGACAGCGTTGTGTTGGAATCCAAGTAAAGCCTATGTGTGGGAAACACTGAAGTGTTCAAAATACTTCTATTAATCTTAATTAAATTTGATATTTTGAAGATCCTGTGGCTGCAGGAAAAACACAAACGGATGCAGCTTCAGCAAAGGCTGCATCTCTAACATCTGAGCCCACAGCTGCAGCAGTAAGAGAGCAGCTACCGGCAGTATCCACGCTGTCTTCTGCAGTTACCCCTCTGACTCTTGGGGAGATGGTAGAAAAGCACCTGGATCCAAAGAGAATAAGTAAGAAATCTAAGAAAGAGGCTGAGTGTTTTTTTTTCACAAATATCTGCATGTGATCATAATTTTACAGTCTCTCTCTTTTTTTCTTTGTCTCTCTTTCACAGTGTATCTCAAGTTGAACAGCTATACTTCACCAGATGTATGTTTCCTCAAATCGCTTGAATGAAGTACAAAAATATTTACACATGTAGTTTTCCTTAAAAGGAGGTTGTTCTATAGCAAGAGAACATGGCGTAAGCATTTTTGGTTAGAAATACTGGAAAAGTAATAGAATTCAAATAAGTAAACCCTGTATTTGAAACTCCTTAAACAACAACCAAGTAAAACCCTTTAGCCGTTTTTAGGGCTTTTCGACAACAGACTTAAATAAGTAACAGCATTGCACAATGCAACATGAGAAGTAGATGAGTTGAGGGTATTACAAATGTTTTTGTGATTGCGGGCATAACACATTCATAAACTATAAGTGGGCTTGTTGCAACAGCACATTTTACTGCAGGAGTTTGTCTCAGACTTTGTTTCATCAGACACAGTAACCAGTGCATCATGTGGCAGACGTCGGCGACATAAAATTTTAATACAGTTATTAAAATTAATATTTCCGGGAATATTAATTTATACCTCGAAATTAGGAGCACCACCTAAAGATTTGCTTGTCCGCCCGAGGCTTTAGGTCCTTGAGTATAGCCTGAGAATTATACAGAGTTCTGGTAATTCATTAGTCGTTATTGGTTCAGGTATTCTGAAATCGTAAGGTCAATCAGTCAGTCTCAGATCTGAGCGTAAGTTCTATGTATAGGGACTCAAGGTGAATTTATTAACTAACAAAAGAGGGTACAATAGTGGGTAAATGTGGTGATATTACAGGGATAACAGTTAATATGACAACCAGGAGGTACTAAAACAGGTTAGCCTGTGTAAGGTTCAGTTTATATTGTAGAGGGAGAGAATTCTACGAGTATGAGGGAACGAATGACCAAAATTGGGTTGCAGATTTAGTTTGTCTAATCTAAGGGTTATTAACTGTGGATGGAGCCCATAGAACACCAACGAGTCACAGAGGGTGGTTTGTTTTGCCCTACCGTTGCCGCAGGTCCCGTGGCGAGGCTCGACTGCGGGTTGGCTCGGGAAGTCGGTTCTGGCCCGACCCCAGTGGCGTTTCCGAGTTGGGTTGAAACCGGTGGATTGGGTCCGGAGTCCTCTTGTGGGAAGCGCTTGCAGCAACTGGCTGTCAGCCAAGGCTTTTGCTCTGATCTCAGTTTGTTTGGTGTCGCTATAAGGCCCACTCAGGGTTCTGTTGTCAGAGCCGTGGTTTCATTTATTCAAGGCCATAAATGAAGGCTTCTGAGTTTCTGGTCCAAAGTTGCTCACAACGGTCGGATGAGGTTGCAACAACAAAATCAAATAAACTCACACATTCGCCGTAGGTTCGCGAGGCCTCGGGAATATAGGCTATTTAATGTTGCTGAGGTTTAACAGGCAGCTTCAAACAAAATAAAGAAAATCAAATCTCCCGCTAAGAAATTTGGAATTCAGGGTCGTAGCTTTCTCAGCTCGTCTGAAGGAGATTTAAGTACGAAACAAAAAAATCGGAATTTCAAAAGTAAAGGAAGTTAAGAGAACGTACACGTTTAGTTTCAAGAAAGTTTAAAAGAGAAAAGTTTTTTGAAGAGGCAAGAAGAGAACAAAAGACAGCAGGGCCTTTTTATTGATCCCGCTAGGTAGTGTGACGTCATTTTGGGGATGGTCTCCCAAACGTCGCTAAGATGTTAACTTTTTGGGATAAAGAAATATACGTTGCGCGTATTTCCCTTTAATCTCTCTCTCCACAATATCGACATTTGGAAAAATAATGGACAATAAACAGAATAAACACAGTTATACTGGAACCTTGCTTGGTTCGAGTAACAGGGGTTTTTATGGTCTCTCTTCTCTGCATTCCTGGCTTATCGCACCGGTTATCAGAGAATGAAATGGTGGTTTATGGCTCAGCCGTTCTGTGGAGACAAAAGAGTCAGGTTGAGGCTGGAGGTGACCTGCGGGAGGAAGAAGGGGTCAGATCGCCCCCTTTCCTGTCCTGTGGACTGTCTTTAGTGACACCTTTACGGCTAGAAAGGTTCACTAAGGCTCTTTGAATACACAATCCTTAAGCGATTCATTGTCTGATTGAGTCTCTTTCGGTCCTTACAAAACACCAGGCGATGTCTCTGGGTTTTACATGTGAAAAGGTCAACTCTCGGGGAGGGAAACTTCCCTCCCTCTTTTGACACCACCTGACCTTCTTTGAAGTGCGTCTGCTTGAGTTCACAACAATCACTTAGTTCCCCCGTGATGCAGCATCTCAGTGGCTTAAAGCGTTGGCTCAGCCTCTAAAACTACTACTCGCTACAGTAGCTAGGAAGCTCGATGTCACTTAATGTAATGTAAAGTGTAGTTTTTAATTGGTTAATTAATCTATACATTTTATGTAGCTTATCTGGATCTAGGTCACATAGATTTAATAAATTATATTATTACACATATTAGACATAATTGTTATATTCTGCTGGGAAGTACTTAGATGCATAATTCCATGTTGTCACTGCTGTTTTCCCATCAAACTTGTTGTGACCAGTATTTTCCTGATTAACTGTTGTTTATGATTATGTTGATATTATTATATACATGGAACAAAGAGGTCACAAGAGGTGTAAACCCTTTACAAACTAACTAACACCATTACTGCCTCATTATTTTCCCTCTTTCTTTATCTGCAGTATTTCAAATATGGTAAGAAGCTGTTGCTCATAACTGGACTGCCGGAGTATCACGATGGCCGCTACACAGAGGATGAACTTGCAGAACTTCTCAAGCCATTTGGGTTTCAACATAAAGATGACACCATCTATGTCGTTCCTCAGACATGCATGGTAAATACCATGTTATAAGTCTGTATTGGTTTGTTATATTAATTCCATTTTTCTGCTATTTGTTTTTAGTCTTTGATCAGAGGGACTGATTCTGACACTAACTGTTTTGTGTTGCACAACTGTATTAATTGATTCTAAATTAAAGATGAGTTATGCAACATTTACATTCTTTTTAGATGGATCATTTATCATGAGAGTTTTGTTATATGCATATATGTATCTCACAAAATTGAGAAAACCCCTCACATTTTTGTTAATATTTAATTAGATCTTTTCACTTAGGGGTTACTCACCTTTGTTGCTGTGTGATGTGTTATTTTGAAGGAACAGCAAATTTACACTGTTAAGCTGATGGTACACGGGGCAACTTTTTGAGCAATGTTGCTTGTAGCAAGTTCGACTATGTTTTGAACGGATAGCGGCGGTGCAGGGCAAGTTATCTTACCATTGACGGCAACGTTGCCCTGCACGATTGCTCTAAAAGTTGCTCTGTGTATCATCGGCTTTATACAAGCTGTACACTCGCTACTTTACATTGTAGCAAAGTGTAATTTCTTCAGTGTTGTCACATGAAAAGATATAATCAAATATTTACAAACATTTGAGGGGTGCACTCACTTTTGTGAGATACTGTAAATTAAAGTATTAATACATTTTAGTTTCTGGTTTTCCTCTCAGGCCTTCGTCATGATGCCGACAGTGAAGAATGTGCTTCACACAATGAGGGCAGTCAGAGAGAATGGCATTTATTTCAAAGGCTCTACACTCCATGCCCATGTTATATGCAGTTTCATTGCAAACACTCCAGTAAGCACGTACACAAAACTGTTTTTATTGACAGATTTTTATAGAAGTTCATTATATTCAAGACCTTAGTTCATCGAGAACATCAAATATTTACAGAAAAGCATGCATCTCTCTCATAAAGGCCGGAATCTCTGTGCCTGTGTAATTGGATCATGTTAACAACCGTTCATCCAATCGGCCTCCAGATCCTGAATCTGATCTTGACTTGACTTGTCTCTATTATCAGATTTTCACCAGATTTTACTAAATTGAATGTATATCAATGAATTCTTATTTTATTTCCCGGACTCCATAACACTCCATTTATACTGATGTGTATACAAATTCACACTGAGTCTGCAGTGTATTTGTGTGTGGGGTGTATTGTGGAAAAGTATCTTTGCATTTTAACACTACCTACTTTGATGTTTCTGTTTTAGTTTGGGTTTTATGAATCGCTGATGAAGCTGATGAAGTCTGTAAGTAATGCACGTACACTTAATACCCTCTTATTTGTAAACTGCTTTAAGCTTTAAATACAACTTGCGCAGTGAAAATATCCCCTCCTGTCTTAGTTCAAAGTTGAGGGGGCATCTTAATTCCTCCGTTTCTCACCAAACTATATATTGAACGTGATAACATCTGGAAACTATCCACAGTGATGTAAAATAGTGAAGAAGTACATTAAATTCCAATTAACATAGTGTGCTAACTGTGCTAAATTAATTTATTGCAAATTGCAGTGTGGTTGTGTGTGTTCATCTCCGTCCTGTTGTTAATGTTTTGGTTTGGATGTTCACTTCCTGTTCATGATGCAGCGTGTGGTTGATGATGGAGTGAGAACAGTTCTCATCAAGAACATTTCACAGAGTGAGATCAGGGACCTGAGAGAAGCTTTGAAAAAAGTCAGTTCTATCAGAAACTACCTGCCTCTCCTCAACAAGGTAAAAACACACACATACAAGTACATGATGTTACAGTGGCTCTGAAAAGACTTCACGTTACTTACCTTACCTCGTGTGTGTGTGTGTGTGTGTGTGTTTGTGCTTCTGCGTTCCAGCTGTTTATAGAATTTGAGTCTGTTTGCGATGCTGATCGGTTTGGAGTTTGGCACAGTCTCCTGAAACAAGCACCTCGACACGAAGTTCACAGGCTGAAAATACCAAACACCTGCTATCGATCACCACGTAAGTTTATTTTAGTAAATAAAAACAATTTATACATATGATATAGAATGTTTAATTTTTCAGAAATAATAGCAAATTTCATATTAAAAAAAGTTTGAGACAAGAGAGACACCTGATAACTTGAAGTACTGCATATACACACGTATTTACAGTAACATGATTACTGCAGCACATGTAAATGTTTTGTCCGATTACCAGAGTTACCTAGTCTCTCCAGTAAGTAACCTGGTTACTTACTGGAGAGACAGATATTTTGTACAAGACCATCATCACTGTGTTAAATTAATTAATTTCTAGAGAGCGACAGTTGTGGAGAGCAGAAGGTAGTGGAATATTTGCTAGATGTGTGTTTTCTTTAACTTGCTAAATGTTTTTTTCGTTTGGCATCTGGTAATAATACTGGATCATGGAAAATATTACAAATGAATGATTAGTATAGAATAAAATGACCAAAATGACACTAAAATATTTTGTCACTCTTCAAATATATTCAACATAACAGAAAACTCATCTTTTGTCTCTGCAGCACCAAGATTTCCTGAAAACGCTCTGCCGGATATCAAGGATGTTGTTTTCGGGGCAACTATCCCTCTAATAAAAAACATTCCTCAGGACAGCATTTCACCATTTTGGGTCACGATGAGAACTAGCCCCTTCCTGTTCCCCACCTTGTCTCCCTGGTTCATCATCCCAGGTAAGAGAGGCAGTTTATTGATCCTTCGTTGTCATCGTGACAAGTTTGAAACTGCTAGATTGACCATGTTAACTTGTTCAGTAAGGTGACTGTGTTTGCCTAATTTTTCTCTCCAAGATTACCTGACAGTCAGAAGAAAAGACGACATTGAGGTACGCCTGTTTCTTTCCACTACACCCAATTTAGTTGCTTTTATATATTATTATGTTCAAATGCCTCGCGAACATGTACGCAGGATAAGCGGTTGACGGTGGATGGATGGAATATTCAGATGCATTTGGTCCACCTCAACCTGCTGGTGTAGCAATGTGGCTCTGCTTTACGACACACTATGGTCCAAGCGTTTCACTGCACATGAGAGTGAAAAATAGAGGTTGTGAAAATGAAAAATTATGTCATTCTGTTCTTTACAAGAAAAATACAAGTAACTGAGTGTTGTGGATGATTTCCCCTCTTATGTATGCCTTAGATGCGTCCCTGACAAAAGATATTCTACCTGCGGGTAATTTCAGAAAAGAGATTTAAAATCCTCCAATAGTGTCCCTAAGTATCATTTTGCAGCAGCACAGTAATGAGCCTCTCATAGCCTCTTTTTACCTTTTCTGTATTCAAGTCAACATGCAGCTCCACTGTTCCATGGCCACTGACGATGATGGCACCTATCTCACAGTTCCACTACTGAATCTAATAGTGTTAGATATCAGGAAAAAAATCAACCTTAAATGTGACTTGTGCAAATGTGAAAAATGCAGACCAGTCAGGGAGCCCATGCTGATCCCTGTCCACTGCCGAAAGCGCCTACAGTGGACACGTGAGCATCAGAGCTGGACTATAAAGTAATAGAAGAAGGTGGCCTGGTCTGATGAATCAACACGTGGATGGCCGAATCCATCTCTTAATTGGGGAACACCAGGATGCATAGCAAGAAGGCAAGCAGGCAGAGGCAGTGTGATTGTTTGGGCAATGTTCTGCTGGAAAACCTTTGTTCCTGCCATTAATGTGGATGTTTCTTTGACACGTACCACCACCTACCCTCAAGGTCCTCCTACGGTGTCTTTGTACAATTCCTGCCTTTTTGCCCAATTATTTTATTAATTTTTAATAAATTAACCTTCTACTGGGGTGTAGTTCCACTCCAAAATCTTCTTCCTTGGTAATTTTCCATTGTCTCATCTGTAACTTTCCATCAGTGTTATTGTATACCATCTGGTGGGCACATTTAGGTACTAATTGTCACTTTCTTCCAACTAACTGTTATCTATGTTACTTTTTGTATGTCAATATGGGCTGTACTGTCAAACTTTATCATAATATTGTCTTATATTTTTGGGTAGTTTAGTCTTTAATATTAACCATTAAAACTTCAGAAAGTCAAGTTATATTTTGTAAAGATAAGCAAGCATAAATTAACACTACTAACACATATCGACATATACATATAGAATCACTGTTAAACTATCACTTATTGCATAAAGTCCATCATTCTTTGTTATACAGTACTTTTCACATAGTTTCGATGTCTGCTCAGTAGAATCACAGGGAGTTTCCCACTTGGCACAAAATGCTCACTATCTCCCCTTCTTATCGTTGATATTTACTTTCTAGGTTATATTCCTTTTTATCCAGTGACAGATAATGACTTATGGCCCTGTTAAGTCTGTCTGTTTGCTATGCATGCTCACAGACCGTCACCTCCCACCCTTCTCGTACCTGGATCCTTATCTTTTTAAGGCTTCTGATCTTGGACTTTTAAGATGTTAGAGTGCAAACTCATCATAATAGTTGTCTTTGGTTAAAACAATCATTTTACAGAGTGAATCATAAACTTTAAATCTTGCTTATATATGATTGGAGCAAAGACCGATCATTCAGAGAGTAATTTTTAAACCCCAAACATATTAAAACTTGTGTGTGTGTGTGTGTGTGTGTGTGTGTGTGTGTGTGTGTGTGTGTGTGTGTATAATGTTTCTTAACGTGTATATATAGAAAGGGTGGCCAGTAGATGGGACAAAAGTTGCTTAGAATATACCATATAGTCACTTCATCCATAGCTTAAAACATTAAGATAGTAAATATTACACAACATAGGCATGGGGGCAAGAGAACAATGGGCTGGTTCAGTTTTGCATTTGTTGCCAGTTTGTTGTCCACTATGTCTCCAATCTCTTGTTGCATTTCTCCATGCTTTTCTCCAACCAAGCGTTTACATCTTCCATGTCCGATATCCGTTGCACTGCCTCTCCAAGCCTTACTTGTATGTTCTCAGCCAAGTTTTTTGGGCTCTTTTGTTGTCTCCTTAAAGGGATACTAATTGATTCTTATTCAAAACAGTTTTTGTTAAATTCAGCAAATATTTCCTCGCGGTTCACTAGCTCTGTGTTATCTGTGTTCTCTGAAAAAAATCTTTTTTTTTCTACACAGATCTGGCTCTGTAAATGAAACACAAAGTTGAGCTGTGCAATCCCTACAACATTGTTCCGGCCAATCTGAAATAGGTGGCTGTAGCACACTATGCACAGGAGCAGTGGGAGAGAGAAAGTTGTAAACACCAGTACATTCAAACATGCTGGATTCATTACTAGACTCCAAGCACTGTCCAGATGGAGAGATGGCCGAGAAACAGCCAAAGGTCTGAAGAGTACAAATTGTGAAACAACTTATATGACCAGGCAATGGCAAGACCCGTGTTTACATCGAGGCGTTTAAATGCTGTAGAAACTTTGATTTGAAAGAAATGAAAACTGATGTAGAGGTTGCTATGTTTCTGCTTGCCATGTGAGACAATTAGCTTTGCTGTTTCACAACAATGATAGGTTAGATCTATTCACTTGGTTGTCATGATTGTGATGGGCGATCCCAACTGGTTAGCTTCGTTAGCTTTGCTGCAGCTGTAGCTGAACTAAGGGTAGTTGCATTACTTTTGGCCACAAAGACCTAAAAAATGGTTTTGCTAGGACAATGGGATTGCTTGGGTGGATTCATAATTTTCGGCCAACAGTCTTCTGCCATATTTTAGCAGACATACTTAATGGGCATACATTACCTTGGAAATGCATGCCCATTAATTTGGGGAGTGGAGCTTGTGATGGAGCACTGAAGTGAGGGGTGTATTTGTTTGGCAGTTGAGAAGTACGATTTATTCTCTTTCCAAAAGCTAAAATAAATCCAGAAAAATGTCGGCTGTGGATTGTTCCTAATGTAATGTTAGTTAGCTAATGCTAACTAGCTAACTTCTGAATGAAACGTAAAAAAGTCCTACTGTTCTGCTTTTTAATGATTGTAATAATGACTAGAGGCTTACCCAGCTTTACAGTGCTGATCGTTCATATTGTTGTCTTTGGTCTCAGTCGTTGAGGGATGTGGCGGTTCACTTGTGCTGTGTGATCGGTAGGCTTTAGCTTCTATCTTTAATTTTTTTCACGTCTGTTTGAGTCAGCTTGAGTGGAGACGCCAGTGTGCTGCCATCTTTCTAGGCAGTCCCATGTGACTTCATTAGCATCCAAGTTTGTCATAAATGTGCATATGAACTAGAGCAGAATTGATCAAACCGACAGTGACTTTAAGTAGTTCTCTGTCGTTCGCACTGTTTAAAAAAAAATCATATCGGTTCAAGAAAACGTAAACAGACAGGCGGACAGGCACTCCGCTAGTACAGCAGATGCTCAGTGGATGTAACCATGGCAACAGCTTTTGTGGCTATACAGCTGTGGCCTACTAACTTAAGTTAAAATTATACACAATGTTACCAGATATATCAAGTTTTGCAGGGATGCTCTGCCATGTGAATTCCCTCCTGTTAATGTCCTGATAACTATTTAATAAACAGTAATAGATTCTGGAAACTCACAAACAGCGGGAGGATCAGTCTCTCCTCCATTGATTTGAGCTGCGCGTCTTATACAAAAAGTTCAAGACAAGACTTGTTGCTCCGCCTGTCAGAATGCCCGCGCCTCCCTTCCTACACGCTCGCCTTTCATTGAAAATGAATTATGAGGTGCTTAAAATGCTTCCCATGTGAAAAGGCCTTAAGGCTGTGCCGATTTTAACAATGACATTTGAAATGTAAATAAACATTAGAATGTCTATTCATTCTGTTTAAAGGCCAGATTTATAAATAAACATTTATAAATCAACTACCCTTATAAACACAATGTGAGGAAGTAACTGTTCTGACGTAATGTCAAAGATGTCTGTGTATTGTGGTGTAGAGATGTCTACTGCTCCTTACTTGTTTGGAGCATGTGCTGAGGAATTACATTTGTTTGATTACATATTGTTAGTATTAAACTATTTGTAGAATTAGATCCCAGTGGTGACTGCACGGGATTGTTTTTGTTTGAGGATTTAAAAAATATGTTTAGGGTGATGGAGTCATGAAATATGATGACAAACATTTGAAGCTTCATTTAGGGTGTTAAAAAAAGACATTTGGTACAGCCCTACCTTTGACAAAGACTCAACACATGAATTATACTTTGGGCTTTAAACTTGGTGTTTTCTAGAAGGCCAGTGGTTCCAAGTTCCCCACAATCATGTTGACCGGTTTGCCAGAGGGAAACTACCAGCATGAGGATGTGGCCAAGCTGGTCTGGCGGTATTTCCCTAAACAGAACCTTCGCTCCCTGTACTACAACGTGACGGTCTTAACGCTGCAGAGGAGGGTAAGGAGTAGAAACTGCACACTGTTACAGCCACAAACATTAGTGTGATTACAATGTTATTAGTTAAATGGAGCTGTTTTGTTTGAATTCAATAACTTGTCCTTTCCTATATTTCCCCTCTTCACCTCTAGGCATTTGTGTTTTTTGCTGATTGGACTACGTGCTGTGATTTTGTCCGAGATCACCTCAAAAATCCGGTTTCTGTCAAATTCTGCACGCTCAGTGTACACTTCGTTTTGCAACACATGAATCCCGAGTCCAGTGAGGTATGGACTCTATATGTACAGTGAGTGCTGTAACTTTATGTCAGGATCAGGATGGGATCATAGACTGTATAAAACATGGACATAACTGCCATCACCAATAGGTTTCTAAGGACCTGTTGTGAATCTTAGTGTGGTGGCTTCACCTTCATCTTGGCAGACTCCGCTAACTTTTGGCTAATCCAAAAATGGGCAAAGAGGTGGAGTTTAGATGGAGCTAGCAGACAGCGAGTGATTCAGCACCTGTCACTCAAAGTGGCCACACTCTTAATTATGCATAACCTTAATATAATTTAAACACTAAGTACAATTCAACCCCTGTATAATTGCTATGAACGGGGAAATTTGTATAGAGAACAAAACTATTTTTGTACTAGGCTGTAAATTGTAAAGAGTATTTTAACAAGGGGGTCTATTTGGATTAACTTGATTTGGGAGCCAGCCTCAATTGGCCATTCCAGGAACTATAGTTTTTTGGTACGTCCGCGATGGCTTAATATTTTAGCACCATAGTTTGCAGCTTGGATGGGATAGAAAAAACTACTTTCAATACTAGACAGGAATCAAGAGGTTCCTCTTTATTAACAGTTTATACTGCAAATACTGTAATTCCTTTCTTCTGCAGAGATATCATAATAAATAATAACATCTATACTGGTGTTGTTGTTAGAGGAGTACTCTGCAGACAAGCACAGAAATGCAAACATGTACACACAATTTTGGCTATTTAGAGAGAAAATGTTGGTTTGAAAAACAAAATGTTAAAAATGCAGATATAATTTTTTTTGGCAATCCGTGACTTGTAATAATTTTTTCAGGAGGGGATGTACAGAAGTCTGATGAAGTGGAGCAATGCTGTAAGTCAATAATCTTTTGTCAAGTGAAAGCGGCTACCTTTGGATCTCTGGTCCTTAACGCAAACTATTTCTTGCTCTTCAGGGAGTTCCAGAGCTAAAGTCTCTGGAGGAGCGGTTGCTCTGTGTGGAGTTTTCTCATACTTCTGTGGCCCTCATCAGGAAAGTCATCGAAGTGGTGGCTTCCATCACAAGCTTTGTCAGCTTCCTGCCGCTTGCTAACAGGGTACAAGAACACAAACACTTGCATTTTTCACGTTTAAGTGTTGAGAGAACCACCATGTCACTGTATCTTAAAGCATAAAGCCCTTTGTGTGTGGTTGCAGGATGTCAGGAGAAGCTAAATATGCTGTTAGCTGCAGCGGTGACAGTGCTCATATTGAGATGTTACTCCGTGCGTTATTTATTTTTAGAAACGTGTGAGCATTGTGACCTCAAACCAGAGCTTTTGGCCCATTACTCACTTTTTGGACTCTAGAAACCTGGAGTTTTCAAGTTGTCTACTACTAATTTATATTCAAAAGCATGAACTGAGCTTTATTTAATTGCAGGAAATTGTGTGTAGTGTATAATCAATTTATAACCTAGATGTGTTTTATTTTTATCAAAGCAACTATATTATTTCTATTACCTATATGTGTTTAATTTTAAAAAACACTGAATTTATGATCAGAAGGCAACACACAAACATTTGTAGGAACCAAGGTCGTTTTGTTGAGCAGAGCCTGGGGAGTTCAGCTAGTAGCACTGTTATCACAGGGGAGAGACGGGTACAGGCCTTTTGCCAGGAATCATATCTATGTGGCTGGATCCTCCTATTCTGTAGGAGTCTAGGATAAAGTTCAGTTCAGTCAGACAGGCAACGGCACATGGCTCACGCCTCTTAAGTCTTACCCATCAGAAAATTTAAAGCCATTAAAGGCTGACCAAGGAAAATAAATTGAGCTAGTTAAAATTCTTATGGCTTGTTGCTGTTCTCTCTGTGTTGCTTTTATCTAGTCACTTTCTTCATCTCTCCCTCCCCTCTTGTCTTTTCACTCTCTTTGTCCATGACTGTTCTACCTCAGATTTGCATTGAGATGGCTGACTCCAGCGGTGTAACACAAGTGGTGAAGTTCGCACCGGCCTTTTTTGAAAAGCAAACAGCTTGGTATGCATGTGTTCTTAAAATAGTTAGGGGTATGAATGGGGTTAAATTAGTTCTGTAATAACTAACCTCTGTTTCCCCACACAGTCTTTATTAAAACAGGTATTCTTTGTGTGTGTTATTCATTTTGTAAATCCCCATCTCCTTCATTTTATTTTTTTTTATAGGATGAAAGTTAAAAGTTTTGAGCCGTGAGTATACCACTTTGTAATTTATTCTTGTCCAGTCAAAGCTAGGGTGAGAGACCTTTACAGAAATGACCGTTCATTACATTAGAGCCGTTCCCCTACAAGTTTACATACTGCTGATTAAGCCTGTCACCGCCAGGTAAATCTATCTGTTTTCACAGAATGCCAGAGTTTTTTTTAAATCTGGAGCCTGTGGTGACATTCAGATGCCATGTTTCCACAACGGAAGTGTTTTATGCCATGGTAATATTTGTGATGACAGAGCCAAGTGTCATTGGAGAGATTTACGCATACATCCCAGGGTTAAAGATGAATTATCAAAGATTTTGTAAGGTTTTGTTGTAACCATTAAAGTTGATCGACAGAAAATGAATCGCCAGCTATTTTTTTAATGAAGTAATTGTGTAAGAGATTTCAAGCATAAATGACATAGATGGTTGGTTTTGTCTATTTTAAATTATTGTAAACTGAATTTCTTTGGGATTTGAACTTTTGGTTGGACAGAAAAACTCATTTGACGGCATCAGCAGGGATCCTGGTGAAATGTGATGGGTATCATCTGAAATTTTAAAGATGATTTATTGAGAGAATGGTCTCAAATGAATTGATAACAAAATAATCGTTAGCCCTAAAGATTTTACAGGAAGAGATGATTATTATAAAAACACTCACTGAGACATTTTTGGCATAAACCAAGTGTTATATTCATTTTGTGAGACAATCCTGCTGTCATTTGCTTCTGACAACCTTTTTCTGTTTTTAATTTTAGTTTGAAAAGCCTAAAAGAGCGTCTACGAGATTCTACCGAGTTCACAATAAACTTTCAAACAAACACCATCAGTGTCAAAGCCAAGCCCCCAGCTGTGAAATGTCACACTCATTCTCGTCCCTCCAAACTTTTTGATACTGGGTCACAAGCTGCTCTTCCAACCAGTGGCCCTGGTGGATCCAACATTTCTGAGCCCGTCACAGCAGGACCAAGTGCTAACAAAAAGAGGGTGGTTATAATTGTGCATGTCAATGTCACTACTCCTCAACCCTTCCCAGTAAATGTCTTCCCAGTAATTTCACATGTCACTAATCCAGGAAAACCTTTTTTAATATATGTTTTCTTTAGAGCCCCGGAAACAGCAACACAAGCTCTCGAACTGCAGCGGCTCAAGACGCACCACAAAGAATGGTACATCACTTTCATCTAGACAGGAAATCAGACCCTCAACCCTGGAATGATTTTTTCCAAAATTAGCCTATGACAATTCTCCCTGGTTCTTTTCACTAGTCCTTGTTCTTTTAACAGATGTATGAAATAAAATCAATAGGTACATAATGTATCTAATCTCCTATTTTATCCTGATGGTAACTGATTAATTGTTTCTTTCTCTCTTCTCCATCCAGGATGAGGATGATTTTACAGATGACAGTGTTTCTGCCTATCTTCCTATCGCCTATCTTTTTGATGAGCAAAATTTCTGCGGTTGTAGGACACCTACCCGCTTGTCCTCCACTGCACATGAAAGGGAAAAGATAACATCAGCAGCAACTGTCAAGTCCTCAAGGGAGGCTCATCCAAACCCACTTAGACAAGAAACACAAGACACAGAGAGCGCAGTGGCAAAGTCTGATCACAAAGTTTCAGCAGAGGGCATTGCTGCAAAAACTGTTGCTTCACAGACAAAAATAGAAACATCATCAGAGATGCGTCCACCTCCGCATGGACATGAGGTAGAGTTGAGCCAAACCCAGAGTCTGGATGCTGATTTTAATGTGAACACTCTCAAAGACCAGAAGACAAGGAAACAGGAAGGGAAAGAAGATGTTGACAAACATTCAGAGGTGGAGGAGGACGACAGAGAAAATTTCCAAATCCTTGATTCACTCGATGATCAAACAGATGAACAGATGGATGATGGGGACCAACATGGCAGCTCTGAAACCCAGCTAACTGGACCTGAGGGAAGCCAGACTTTGCATGAGGAAAAAGGCATATTCCACTTAGAGGAGGACAGTGAAATGGAAACGACCAGTTCTTTACAAGTGCTAGACAGTGTTACTGAAGACCAAGCAGCTGCAGGTCAAGAGGACAGTCGCCTGGTCCAAGATGACGGTTCCACAGTAAAACAACTGTCTGAGAAAGATGCAAATCCAGTAGTCGACAAATCTGATGATGCCGTTAAAGATGCAGTTGGTAAAGAGACAGATAACAAAGAACAATTCCAAGTGTTAGTTACAGGTAGCAAACAAGGTCCAAAGGGAGATGGGAAGAAGAAAGAACAAAAAGAGGAAGAGGTCAAAGTTAAAACACTTTCAGCAGAATCCTCTAAAACCTCCAAAGATGTAGAAAATCCTGATGGCCGAATCCCAAATGAAGACCAGCTTCTTCAAGAATGCAACAGCAAAGACAATTTAAAAGGCCCTGCCACTGATGTTACTGAAGAAGAAACCTTTGAGATGTTGGATTCAATTAATGATCAAACTGCTACATTAGATGACAACCAAAAACTTGAAACCCCCAGTGAGCAGATATCCAAAGAATACATTAGACCCGAAGGGGAAGAGGAAGACACAGATCTGGTAACCGATACTGTGAAAGATCAGCCAATGAAGTCAGAGGTAGACGACAAGGAGAAAAGCACCAAGAAAGAGGAGGCGACCCCTAGAAAAGATGAGAGACAATCAAAGAGGAGTGACCCTGCAACCTCTGCATCCAAAAGTGAAGAAAAAGAGAAATCTCAGGACAAGATGGTTAAAAAATATGAGACACAAACTAAGATGGGCACCAGTGCAGCGGTTTCTAAAAAAGACAAAGAGGTCACTGAGGAGGTGGTTTATGAGGTAGTAGATTCTGTTGAAAATGAAGTGTATAGAGATGCTTCCGCCACAGAAAGGTCTGGCAGAAGAAGGAGTGCAAGAGGAAAGAAAGTAAATGAGAACGCTGATGATGAGCTGACCATCATGAGAAGATCTACCAGAGTAAAAAGGGAAAGAACAACTAATAAAGATGCTTCGATTGAGAAAACACAAAAAGAGGACACGCCAACAAGAAGGAGGCACGCTCCTGCCAGAGAGTCACAGGAACGAAGCAGGGAAAAAAAACCAAAGAGAGAGGCAAAAGTTCCTCTAAAAGAGAGCACACCAACAAAGAAGGACATTGCTGCAAGAAAAGTAAGTGAAGACGATGCTAACTGTGAAATATCCTCTATGGAGGATGGGGTTGTTAAGCATGATCAGCCCGCCACGGGAGGAGGAGTAAAAGGAAAGAGGGGAAGACCAAAGAAGCCGGTTCAAACAACTAAAAAAGACAAAGTAACATTAAAGGCTGACGAAGACGCATCCGAAAAAGTGGCTGATGAAGCAGAAGCAACCGATCTGACTCTTAATTCTGTTGAGAAGAGAAAGGTTGATGATCAGCTCCCCACAGGACAGTCTGCTAAACGCAAACATGTTAATGACTCAGGTGTGTGTTCTTCTGTCTGTAAATACTGCTGTATATGTGCACATGTACACTCACCTAAAGGATTATTAGGAACACCTGTTCAATTTCTCATTAATGCAATTATCTAAGCAACCAATCACATGGCAGTTGCTTCAATGCATTTAGGGGTGTGGTCCTGGTCAAGACAATCTCCTGAACTCCAAACTGAATGTCAGAATGGGAAAGAAAGGTGATTTAAGCAATTTTGAGCGTGGCATGGTTGTTGGTGCCAGACGGGCCGGTCTGAGTATTTCACAATCTGCTCAGTTACTGGGATTTTCACGCACAACCATTTCTAGGGTTTACAAAGAATGGTGTGAAAAGGGAAAAACATCCAGTATGCGGCAGTCCTGTGGGCGAAAATGCCTTGTTGATGCCAGAGGGAAGAGGAGAATGGGCCGACTGATTCAAGCTGATAGAAGAGCAACTTTGACTGAAATAACTACTCGTTACAACCCGAGGTATGCAGCAAAGCATTTGTGAAACCACAACACGCACAACCTTGAGGCGGATGGGCTACAACAGCAGAAGACCCCACCGGGTACCACTCATCTCCACTACAAATAGGAAAAAGAGGCTACAATTTGCAAGAGCTCACCAAAATTGGACAGTTGAAGACTGGAAAAATGTTGCCTGGTCTGATGAGTCTCAATTTCTGTTGAGACATTCAGATGGTAGAGTCAGAATTTGGCGTAAACAGAATGAGAACATGGATCCATCGTGCCTTGTTACCACTGTGCAGGCTGGTGGTGGTGGTGTAATGGTGTGGAGGATGTTTTCTTGGCACACTTTAGGCCCCTTAGTGCCAATTGGGCATCGTTTAAATGCCACGGCCTACCTGAGCATTGTTTCTGACCATGTCCATCCCTTTATGGCCACCATGTACCCATCCTCTGATGGCTACTTCCAGCAGGATAATGCACCATGTCACAAAGCTCGAATCATTTCAAATTGGTTTCTTGAACATGACAATGAGTTCACTGTACTAAAATGGCCTCCACAGTCACCAGATCTCAACCCAATAGAGCATCTTTGGGATGTGGTGGAACGGGAGCTTCGTGCCCTGGATGTGCATCCCACAAATCTCCATCAACTGCAAGATGCTATCCTATCAATATGGGCCATCATTTCTAAAGAATGCTTTCAGCACCTTGTTGAATCAATGCCACGTAGAATTAAGGCAGTTCTGATGGCGAAAGGGGGTCAAACACAGTATTAGTATGGTGTTCCTAATAATCCTTTAGGTGAGTGTATATTTACACTGTAGCCACAAGAGAACTATTGATTAACTCCATTTAACAAATTGTGTGATTTCGAATCAGTACACTCTTTACAGCAGAAATTATTTCTTGTAAAAGCAGGAAAAACACATGTATAAATAATACATGATACATAAAGCTTCATTCCATTAGTATGTAGGATATATTTTTAGTTATTGATTAAAGAGCCCTGGGACTGGCCTGCCTAAATTAAATGCAGCCATCATTAGATCTGCTCTGACATGGATCTGTTTAGGTGTGTCTTACAAAAGGGGGTGAATAAAATCCAGATGGGTTTCCTTATACACTGTACATGCATTTTAGATCACAGATCTGATTGCATCCCTATTGGTTTTCTAGGGCTACAAGCAAATCAGCATACGAAGAATAATATGAAGACTTTAGCTGTTTAGTTTCAACAAAAACAGTTAAGCTGCTCCCTCATCCATACAGACTATCCAGTTTTCGCAGTGGTTAACATGTTACACCTTCTGTATGGTGAAATATCCCATAAGGATCTGATCCTTCCAAGATGCATTAAAATACCAATTAATAGACAAGGGCGTCTAGTTGAAACTGGTTGACACCATTTTATACACGCTAAAATACGAGTCTATCCTGCCAACCCAGGATTCAACCGCGATCTAAAAACGTTTTTCCTTCCATATCTAAATATTTATTTGTTTGTATAAAAGGTTCTGTGTTAATGTTTGTCTGAAACTTTATTTTTTGTCCTGTTTTAGAGGAAAGCATTAATTTTGTGACCGTAGACGAGGTGGAGGAGGAGGAGGAAGAGAAAGTGGTAACACCCAGGACAAGAGGCCGGACAAAGAAGAGAAGCAGACAGACTCCTGGTAACACTATATCTTTTATACAATCATGTCATTAATTTCAAAAATGAAAAATGTGTAGTTTTGACATAAAGAGTCATCTTGGGTTCAATGTTTTCCAATGATGGAGCTCTAAAATGTGAAACTTAGTTAATTACGAGTCCATTTCCACTAACAGACATTTTATTCTTCAGTTTTGGCATACCGTCCACACGGAGCTTGTATTGTAGACCAACAAGAGTGGAGGAACTTGTAAACTGTTTCCAAATAGAATGCTGGAACGAGTAAATTTGCCTCGAGAAATGAGTTGACATAATGAATCAATTTTCAAAATCAAAAGCAATTCATTTTATCTGCTCTACTTACATTGCAGTGGGGATGAGATTTTTTTTAAAGTCAACTTAAGCCCTGTAATTTTGATTTAAAGATTGTTCTTTCCTTCTTTAGCTGTGAGCAAGCAGAGGGCGGAGCTTGTCGAACCTGAAACAAAGCGATCTTGTTCTCGGTCTCATTGTGTCTCTGCTGACTACAAACTGCCGGCATTTAAACCCAACAATCCTCTTGGTGAGAGACACACACACAGCACTCATACAACAGAAAAAGCAAATGTTTTGTCACACTTTTCCCACCTGTTTCACTTTCACCGCCTCCCTCTTCAGGTCAGGACTTTGTGGTCCCCACATCAGGTTATTTCTGTAATCTCTGCTTTGATTTCTACGAGAGCACGGCCAAGGACCTCCACTGCAGCAGCCAGAGACACTACGACAACCTGCAGGTACACACAAAGACATAAACAAAATGAAACACACTAAAATACACACACTTGGACTCACGCTGTTCACCCACTTCTTCTTTCAGAAACATTACCAGAAGCTTCAACAGAAACCATCAAGACGTTCAACACAAAGTGCTCAAGGCTCTGTTTCTGAATGATCCCAACTTCAACTACGGAATTATTTTTGTATTGTTTGTTAAAAATGTAAAAATCGGGACAAGAGAAACAGCTTCACGAATCACTGCAGAGGAAGCAGATTAGATGTGGTCATAGTGACTCCTTGTTTCATGTAAATGATGTAAATTATACAACAATAATATAAAGATATTTGAGCATCAGTTTCCCCATTAGGATTTGAACTCCCTCTAAAGGTGCCTTGTTCTGCCTGTTACGTTGTATCAATTGTTTTTTGGGAAAAACAGAAACTGAGTTTCATCATGAAGTCTGTAATGGTCACATTTTTTTAACAAATAACTCTTACTTTAAAGGGTGCTACATGACCTATTGTACCTATCAATAGATCATTACAATAGTATTTTTAAGATGATTAGTGTAGTCACCACATACAAACAAGAGGAGAATGTAAACCTGTAAGTTTGTTTACTTTTTTTATTTACAGTTTTTGCATAAAAATCCTGAATGGAACCGATGGAAATAAAAAATCCAAATATCGCGGAAATGTTTTTACTCCTTGCTTAACAAAATGCAATAATAAATTGATAGTGCCGTTTAGCCTCGAGGCTTTACGCAGTCATGACAGGTGAAGGTTTATTACTGGTGGCTTTAATGCACTTACTTGTGTGGTTGAGTGGCTGATTAGTTCACACAGATTCCGCATACAGAAATACATACATGTAGTGTTGAGTCGTTCAAAGAACGTTTCGTTCATAAGACCTAATCGTGTGTATGACTCGGGAAGAACGGGTTGTCTCAGTGAGTGATTCGTTCATTTTCACGCATGCGTGAAGGATCTTGGACTCTGGACTCTCACAGAGGTCTTGGACTCTGGACTCTCACAGAGGACTCGTCACACGACAGCTGCAAGGGCTCCATCAGCACAGGACACAGAATTGATTAGTTCACAACTCACAACTGTGGGTCTCTAGGTCTGAGTCGTTCATTTGTCACGTGACAGCTACTGTGGAGCAGGAATGAATGACTTGTTCACCGCTCACATGGGTCCTCCTCAGTCTTTCTGTTCACTTGGCAGGCTGAGTGACTGCCAGCGGCGAAGAATGAGAGGCTGGTCGGCTGTCAGGTAACAGTCACTGGACTGACATTATATCTAAAATCTATTTTGTGACATTTAATAAAGCATAACATTATTACATTTTAATAAGAGTGTGTTTATTTATATAGTGCTCAAGCTTATTACTTCAATATATTTATTGCAAATCTGATCATGGACAGGGATGTTAGGCTACTGGTTGTACACTACTCTGGAAAGATTGTGAAAATGGAAGGATTTAGCTGGAGTAGTGGTGATTACATATTGACAACATATTTCTGTGGTTTTTACATGGTTTGAATTTGGTTGTGGGCCCAGGGGGGTTTATATAATGATGATACACAGTAATAAAGAGGTGAATTTGTGCATTATACTTTGTCAAATAAAGTAAGCCAGGCAGCCTTCCGAGTTTGAGAACGGCGCTGTTTTTTAATCGCCCACTAGAGGGCTGCAGTGCCACAATAACCCACCTAGTTCGAATGAATGAAATGAACAAAATGACTCAAAAAAGATTAGTTCATTTTAATGAACGAGTCTACGAGATTCGAACTTGCCATCAAAAGCAGACTGGCGACCTGTCCAGGGTGTACACCGCCTTTCGTCCGATGTCAGCTGGGATTGGCTCCAGCCCCCCGCGACCCTGTACACAGGATAAGCGGTTGACGATGGATGGATGGTCTCTCTCTCTCTCCAGCGCTCTGTTTTGGCTTTGTATGTTATGTCCTGAGAATCAGCTGATCGCTAATTGGCAATAAAAATGCAGCTTCCTGGTAGAAAAAATATGTAGTTGGATTGTAATTTCATGTAGTTCTTCTCCAGCCTCTGTTATGGCTTTGTTAAGTTAGGCTACAGCTAAACTTCACATTTTATTGGTGGAAAACATGTATTTCTTTTTACTGCTAGTGGTGATACATAACTAGACCTTGTGTCTGTCTATCAAGTGAAACATACTTAAGTAAAATATACTTTCCCGAATTAGCGTAAAAACAAACTTACTGGATATTGCTTCCCACTGTGGACACAAATATGTAATTTGTACTTTCACATTCTAAATGCCCATTAAAAACGTTGAACCGTTTTACCACAAGCTGAAGTTGGAAGTTATGGCTGTCAGTACTACTTTTTGTTGTATTTCAAAAAATTAAAAAAGACATTTTGGTAATATTTGCATGCTTATCTAATTAAGCAAAGTGAGAGGAGCTTTGATCCTCCCCTGACTATGCCTTCATAAACTTGTGTATGTAGTTTATAGTGGACTGTGGTGCAGAAACAATGAGGCTTACATTACCCAGGTATCTGTAAGTGGTCATACTTGACACATTAGATGTGATAGTGTTTGAGAATTTCTTCATTTACTTTGGTATGTTAGTCCAGATGAGCCAACCCTCCCAAGATGTAAAATAATGTCTTACAGGAGTATGAGACATCATGTAGCACTTCATTTCTTGATGTGGCTGTTTATTAATGAAAAAGTAACAATAATATTTAAAAAAAACATGGTTTTACATAATTTATATAATTGCCTAATATATCTAAAGAAACCTACTCGAGGTCTCAGGACCTCTTCCCCCGGGCCCGCCGAGACTGAATGACGGTCCTCAGATCCGTCTTCCCGGGGGCGAGAGCGCCGTCTTGCGTCCCAGGTTGGTTGAGGGGGATCCCACAAAGCGACGCTCTGCTTCTGGCTGTGGCGGTACGTGCTGGATGAAGGCTGCGTCCGCCTGTCCTGGAGTCTGACCGGCGGGGGAGATATCGCTCAAACGCCTCTCCCTGAGTTTTGGCGTGCTGGAACCTGTTGACGACAGCATCCACTGCTTCGCCAAACAGGCCAGAAGGCGAGAGGGGCGCATCCAGGAGAAAAGCCCTCTCCTTCCCCTGGATGCCCGATAGGTTGAGCCACAGATGGCGCTCCATAGCCACCAAAGCTGCCATGGATCGGCCGATGAAATGGGCCGTTTCCTTGGTCACACGGAGAGCCAAGTCCGTCGCTCTACGGAGCTCCGTCAGGTCCATGGTATAACAGCCAAACAAGCAAGTTAAAGAGAGCATCAGGGAAACTTGAGAGGAAATGGCGTCTTACACATCAAGAAGATTCTCGTTTGTTGTGGCAGGATAGCCAGAGCAACTTATTACTTTACAAATGAATAAAGGAAAATGAGAACAATCTCAGGTTCCTCTCATATACTGTAGCCAGACTGACGGGAAACCACAGCTGAACCAAGTGTCCCTCTTGACTTCAGTAGTGATGCATTTTTATGAACTATTTTAACAACAAAATTTTAATTATTAGAGATAAAATTCAGCATCTTCTGTCTTCAATGGATGCCAACCTGACCTTAGTTACCTCAGAGAGAGAGAGATTATTGTTATTATTTATTCTCCTGCAAATTAGCGTGAGAATAAGATGATCCAGCTGTGGCTTTGTGTGTGTCCTCTCTGCTCCACCTGAAGTGGCTGTGAGCTGCACTTTATCAGAGGCCAGAGGATCAGAGAGAGAGTATCAGAGGACAGAGAGAGCGGGAGGACAGTGGAGGTGAAGTGGTAAGCATGGAGTAGCTCAACCTGTAGGGGAGGGAGGGTCATTTATGCTGGGGACATGCAGCCACCACTTTTTGAAAGCATTTAAAAATGTTCTGAAAAATAGCTTGCACCAACAAAAAAAAATGCTATGAGAAAGGTTTATTTGCACAATAAGCCTGCAATGCAGTGTAAATATAGAAACTAAAAAAAAAAACTAACTTAAGGTAAAAAAAAAATATATATATATATTTTTATATTCTTCTTCTTCTTGTCACCTGCCACCTAAATTTTGTCCTTCCCTTTATAAAGCTTGGAGAGTGACCAGCCCGATTGCCACTCTGTCTCTCTGTACATCAAACATAGCTTATATAGGGTATGTTTACATATCTGTTAGGTACCATACAAGGGTTTGAGTCTGCAAAGTAAAAGGTCAAACCCATAGAAGGGTACAGTACTGTTTTGAGGTAACAAAACAAGGGGTTAGAGGTCAAATTCTGTAGAAGGGTTCAGTCCCTACATAACCACCAATCACTTATCTTCCCGTAGAACACCTCCCCAAGACACCGTAGACACCTCCCCAAAGGTCACCGACCCTCTGTCTTGCTGCTACAGTGCTATTTTGAACTGTTATGAGTCAAATGAATAAGTATTGGATACTACAGTGCCATATGCACATTAAAAAAGACCATAGGCTACTTTAAGGCATGACTGCACGTATAGACTCAGCTGGGATTAAATTAAATGAGAAAAGTACCTACAGGAAACATATCTGACAGTAAAACAGAATGCGGCCTAGTTGGAGTGGAGTCTCCTCAGGTGTCTTCTCACCTGGTCAGCAGTGAGGGTCACAGATTGGGGAGGGGAGGAGTCGTCAGGCTGGAGAGAGCTGTTAACCTGAGAGCCAGAGGAGGTGGGAGTAGGGGTCTCCCAGGAGGGTGGGGGACAGTGAGAAGGTCGAAGGGGAAGTAGTGGGTTAGAGGGCAGACAGCAGCTGAGTTAGTGGGGGGATGGGCCTGAGCCATTGAGTCAAATCTGTTAAAGAACATCTGTTAAAGTTTGTTGGCCCTATCCAAGCTGTCTTCAACTCCTCTGCTGCCAGTCGTCTGAAGCCAGTGATGTTCCTCAAGCCGCTCTAGACCTCCCTCATGTTGTACTGCTGGAGTTTACGCTCTAGCTTCCTCCTGTACATCTCCTTAGGCCCTATCCACACTACTCTGTTTTAGTTTACAAACGGAGAATTAAAACGAATACGATCTTTGTCTACACCAGCTTGCACAGTACAGAATATTTTAATAAAAATATGATGTCAAAAACCCGGTCAGTAGCATTGTGTTTCTGCTTTGTAAGACCCAATCAGAGAGCCGAGCGTGAGCGGCTGCGTTTCCAAACTTCTCCGTTTTAGGTCTTTGTTTTTGTCGTTTTCATCTGGACGGGAGGTGCAAACGTAGCAAAAGGTTTTAATTCGAAAACGCAGTAGTGTGGATGGGGCTGTCTCCTTGATCTTGACCTTCAGGTTCCCCCTGAATGGCCCTCACCTCTTTCCTTTTACCATCTCTGAAAGCCCTCCTCTTTGCATTCAGGATGTCCTTGATGTCCTTAGTTACCCACGGTTTGTTAATTGGGTAACAATGGACAGTTTTTGCTGGGACAGTGCAGTCCACACAGAAGTGTGATACACTCAGTAAGCCCATCTATGTCCTCTCCATGTGGATCACTTCTTTAAAATTATTTGGTGTAGTAAGAAGTTATGTCAGACAGCAATATTAGGCTAATTTGGCTCAAATGTTGAGTGTCTATGGAATCAAATTATATAATCATCATCCCATAGGCATCCAGGAACTGAGCAAAACTTAACAAGTAGGCTAGTGTGGGGTAAGCTCAATGTGTATTTGCTGACACATAAAATAACATTTTATAGGGCTTTTTGTATCTTGAAGTTGGTCATGCTTAGGGTAACATAATGTAAAGTAAAATAAATAGCTACAGTTGACAAATTAATTTGAATTTAATCAAATGTAAGTTTTTGGAGAAAGGCATTTTTCCCAGCTAGTGGTGTAAAAAAATTGTGACATTTTGTGTTTTTTGTTAGAATTACCATGGGGGAGCGTCTTACCCCATGTTACTCTAAAGATGGGGCGGGGCGGTGCCAAGTTTTGTCTGAGGGGAGCCCGTAGTCTCAGACTTTGAAAACCCAAAACGGTTTGCCACGAATACACACTAACACAATAGGTGGCGGTATGTGGTATAAAGTTGGTTTGCTACAATAAACGCACAAAAAAGGAAGAATCCTCCCAGCAAACAGCCCGAGGACGAGTTTCAGCGCATCTGCTGAAAGACAAGTAACAGAAGGTATGTACCTTAAACACAGCTGTTATTTTTTTTTTTTGTTTAGAGGCGGAAGATGATCTGGCTTTGACATGGTTTAACTTTTTCTGTTTAAATGACTCTAACTGTGGAAATGCATAAGCCTACATCGGGACGTGTTAACAGTAGGATCAAGTGTTGCGGCTGAAAACTTTTTCTATGAATAGGTATCGACCGACGGCCTGTAAATTATAGGACGCTATAATATCCTTTTTGGGGTACATCAATGGTGATAAATGATTCGAAGTAGCCTATATATTTTATGAACGTGTAGAGTCGTCACTAATGTATTACACTTAGTAGAAGTATCACAGCCTCCCTTATGATTCAACAAAAATAGGCTATGTGGTGATAACCGCGTTTGATCAATGAGCACGGCAAAGTGTCTGAAAAGGAAGAGGTGGATGCATAATTCGGCAGAGGAGATGTTTTAGGCTACCCGCCGAGATTTGCATCTATCTCTTTTGTCATTATGAATCATGCTGCGTTTCAGCCAACTCGGAACTGGGAAATTTCTGACCTCCGACTTGGAAAAGTCCTGTGTAACGCCATTTGAAGTCGGATTTCCTACTTGTGAACTCGGAGAAAAAAATATGTACCCCGACTTCACGAGAAGCAGCTGAATTACTACACAAAACAATGTCAGCGCCCATAAAGCACACACTGTAAATAGTAAACCATAAAATAAAAGGCAACAAAATGCATTTTGTGCATGTATTTAAATTAAAACAATACACAATAAATAATCATATAGTAAAACCTGCATGTACATTGATGTAGAAATATTAGTAGGTAGCTTGCTACAGTAAAGAATCTCATAAAGTCATCTTCTCTGCATAAAAATTATTGTTTAAAATACCAAAACATTAGGAAGTGTAGTCTACAACATTGCCTTGAGGATTAGCTACCAACTGATGTAGATATCGGGGTACGCAGTTAATTGGTAACGTATGCCTAAAGGTTATTTATGTCAGTTATTTGCATTTAAATTGCCATCCTTTTAATTAACTCCTAAAACACCGGGGAAGGTGCAAGATGTCGGAAGTTTCAACTGGAAAATATCTCAGTTCCGACTGGTCTCGAACGCAACATTAGCGTTTCCACCCGCGAGATGCATACAGTTCTCGGCAGGCAGGTTACGGTATGTGAGGGGGTTGGACAGGATTCATAATATTGTTTACTTGCTATTGCTTAATATCATATAACATGGGTGTGTGTGTGTGTAAGGCCTAAATAATCAGGAGTTATGATAAATACAGGCTTATGCAGAAGCAGGCATTGCACCCTGTGAGTTAACTGCCATTGATACGCTCTCCAATACACACACACACTCACAGAATGTTCTCTGACATACACATATACCCGTCTCTCTTCCTGCATACCCTCCATATATGGATATCCCAGACACAGCAGGGCGGGTCTCCCAAAAATATACTCAGGCTTAGCGGAAGAACAGCTGACTTTGTGTTACGCAGAGGCAGAGCAGAGTCCCCAGATATATCTGTATTATATGGTCAATAAATAACTGGTTGAACTCGACACTTTGTCTCCTTCTGATCCTTCTCATTAAAACACTCGGGGAAGTCGGCGCACTTCAAGGTATTCTTACAAATTTATATTTCTTGTTCAGAAGAAGGAGTGTATTATGCCAAGTTGAAATATCCGACTTTCAACCTCAAAGCGTTCCAGGTGCGTGGTGGTGCGTGACGCCGAAAGTGAACGAAAACCATGGCTGAAAGTGTAGCCTACACACAGCTGCACCCTCAGCAGTGCCTTTGGTGTTAATTAAAAGGATGGCAGTTTAAATGCATGCAAACAACTGACATAAATAGCCCATAGGTTACTAGTTAACTGTGTACCCCTGTGTGAAATCCGACTTCAAGTGGCGTTCCAGGATAGTTTAGTTGGAATTAGTTTGCAATTTGCAGATTTAGTTTGCAATTTAAACATCTAAAAACTGAAGGGTCTCCGTTATCTGTGTGGGACTGTGCTGCATTTTATCAGCGCTGCTGAAGATAACGTGCATGGATTTGAGATTTCCGCCTGATCACAGTTGTCAGTTGGTTTCAGTTCACAGGCAATATGCAGTCCTAAACTGTTTCAGGCAAACGATAAAGTAGGCTACAGCAGAGTAGCTTATAGGACAGGCAGAATATTATGCATTCTCAGTACATAACGACGTTATCGTAGTATTGCGACATCGACATTTCAGAGAACACAGATAAGTGGGAGAGATTCTGTGTGCAGAAAGTTTTTAAACGTGAGCAGAAATCGTACTGAAACACAGGACCTGTTAAAGTCCATGAGTTCATAACTGAATTAAAATGAATTAATTTATCATTGAGTAGAAAAGGTGACACATGCATAGGCCTATATAAATAGATTACAGAGATTTGATGGGGGAGGGGGTAAATCCACTGAAGCTAACCAGCATCAATAGAGGACAAGATGGAGAAGTGAAATAGGCTATGTGAGCGTTTCAGGAGATGTAAAACCTTTAACTGTGCCAGATGTATTCAGGTCCTGTTGCACACTGCTTAACTCTTCTGCAGAGTAGGCTACAAATTGAATTGAGTGAGATCGGTGGAAAAAACTATTTAAACTGCATCCTATCGCTGTCCTTGAAAATAAACTGCCTGCTCCTTGCTCACAGTAGCATTTTCATATTCACAGCATAGGTTTTTTTAGGAGGGGAGGCTCCAGGTAAAAAGATACAGTAAAGGCGTCTTCTGTCTTTTAATGAGAGTTTATCACCACATTTTCATGTACAGAGAAATTACCTTGTTTTTTTTTTGCGTCGCTCTCCGATTGTATTGTAAATGTAATACTTTTTTAAATTAACAATGAACACACACATTACGATTCTGCAATAAATAAGCACATTCTATCCTTTGGTAAAACGCAGTTTAGAACATCAAATATAAAATAGCAAGAAAATTATTTCCCACAGGTGCAACACTGAAGTGCAGAGAAGGCAAAGAAAATGAGTAGTGTTAGAAAAGTCAAAGTACTAAGAGAGGGTCATTGAGTGCAATGGGTTAATTAAAATCTTCTTGGCCGATGTCTGTCTTTTAAAAAGTCTGACTTATGGCTGTTGGGGTGAAGTAATTTCCCCTGCAGTGGTATATTGTGGCTCAACATAGACTATATAAAAAGTGGCTCAACAGCGTGGCATGCTGTATTATTGACATTTTAGTTTTGTTTTGCAAATGTGGTGTCTGAACAATAATGCTGCGATGACGTGTTGAGAAGAAACCCGCTTGACACTGTTCTTGATCATAAAAGTTTATCAAATCAAAGAGTTCAGCATCAATTACAAGCTCTGCAGCAGCTTGGAGAGTGACCCAGCCCAATGGCCACTCTGTCTCTCTGTACATCAAGCATAGCTTATATAGGATATGTTTAGGTATCTGTTAGGTACCATACAAGGGTTTGAGTCTGCAAAGTAAAAAGTCAAACCCATAGAAGGGTACAGTACTATCTTGAGGTAACAAAACAAGGTGTTAGAGGTCAAATTCTATAGAAGGGTTCAGTCCCTACATAACCACCAATCACTGCTCTCCCCGTAGACACCTACCCAAAGGTCACTGACCCTCTGTCTTGCTGCTACAGTGCTATTTTGAACTGTTATGAGTCAAATGCATAAGTATTGGATACTACACAAATTACTTAATTTATGATAATAGGTGCAGTAATGTAAGTGTATCTGGGGATCTCACCTCGCTGCCCAGCGAGCCTCTACCTGCAGCAACATCGCCAAGCAAATTCATATCATGTCTCACACATGGCTATTGTTACTTTCAGGGCATGTCTATCAATTAAATTAACATAGTGCTGCAACATGCATATACACACACATACACACCAGTGCACAGAATGGGCTTCTGTCGTAACTCGCTGTAGTATCGCTAAAGGTCCACAAAAAGCAACATGAAAAAAAATCAGATAAACGCATCCAGCTCATTATTTAGTTTGCTTCAAATGACGCTTCTCACACAGTTTCTTTTGGCTGTCCCTCAGTATTACATCCAACATTGCCAAGCCTGCCGGCTAACCAACAGAGTAAACAGTAAAACAACATAAAAATAGCTACATTTACAGCTTCACATGCACAAATATTTTTGTAACTTTTCTTTAATGAAAACGTCTTCACTTTTTTCATTATTAGGATCCCAATTAGCATAAGGATTGGCTATACTTCCTGGGGTTCATTCAATTCAGTGACACCAAGGGCATGTGCTTATGACATATAGGCTCTTCCATACTGAGTTGCTGCTGTCACTACAGTGGCCTTAAGCTCTGGCAAACCAGTCATTGCTGGGTAGCATGAAACACATCACTACCGCTTCGCCAGCGCTGACACAGACACCAGATTTAAAAACTCAGGTATACTGTGATTACAATAACATTTACCTGGTGGTAATAGGCTTAATCAGCACTGTGCGAACCCGTGTGTAACAGATTTTCATTTATATTTAAAAGTCCTGCTTTATATGGAAATGTTGTCTGACTGCTGGTGCCAAACCTCAAAGTGTTTCTAACAGAAATGACCACGGAAAGACAGGACACGTTCAATTCCAGGGATTAACAGTTTATTGAAAGATGTCGGTTATGGATACGGAGGCGGGGGGCGTCGGAGCAGAGCAGAGGGCAGACCAGGCAGCGGAGGTCACCGGGTGACTTTCCGGGCAGGAAGTGAGCTGAGCGTGGTAGTATCTCCAGGCAGGCAGTGAACCTGAGCGCAGGGACAAGGTAACAAGGTAAGTTAGAATCTCACAGAGAACACAAACAAGAGATAGTTAGGCCGCAGCGCAAATACCACTATGGTAAGGTGACCATCTTGCGTGAGGAGTGAGGTGAAGAACCGGTCTGATATACTGCAGAGTCTTGGTTAGACACAGACAGGGAGACTAACAGGAGACACTGGGAGGGAGGAGAACATAGACACAAGGGGTAAGGAGGAGAACTGCAGAATCACAACATCATTGCTTTTGTCTCCTCTGTTCTTTTTTGCTAGAGAAGACCAAGAAGTGAAATAGACGGAATGAATGTGGATCCAACATTCAAGAGTGGACACCTCAAGACTTTCCAGATGATGGATTTGATCCATCTAGGAATGTGAAGTCCAGTCTCATTCTAATCCCCTTCGTTTTTTAACTTTTTGGCTTTGCACTGTTATCGGAGCGTTGTGTTCCTTCTTCATCTCCAGGGCCCCTAACGAGCCTTCTACATGGAGGTCACCCAGGGAGCTCTCTCCTGATTAGCCAGCAGGCTGTGTCATTGTGGCTGTCTCAACTGAAAGCCAATGCTAGCACTGACACAAATTAAACAACACTTTCCACCGTTGGCAGCCGAGCCGCAACCTCTGCTGCCATCTCCAACACACCTGCTTCCTACATATTGATGGCAGCCCCTTCCCTACCATCAATCTCCTTAAACCTCAGATTATTGCATCACCATGTCACATCCCCTGTATAACCCCTATTTCTCCGAGAACCAAAGTTCCACCCAGGGGCAGTTTGAACTCTCCAGTATAAGGACAGAGAGGGACCCTCGGAGGGCATCTCGCCTTGAACCTGGAACTTGCTCCCAGCAAGTATGTCTGCTCCGATCACAAATGTCTCAGTCAGTGAGCTACAGGCCTGAACAGAGTAAGACCACAATGGATGATGAAATAGACGAGTCTATAGACAAAAGGCCTACTGCTAATGACCCTACGTTTTATTCATCATCTGTCCCATCTAACTATGCAAGTGGTGATGATGGTAGATTTCATGCGCCCAGCAAAAGAGAACATAATATGCAAGGGTATCAAGGGTTCTGTGACTTTGACTATCGAGTGGTAGACAAACCAGCAGCCTCTACAGAATCCAGTCAACCCAAGCACACTAAATCAGCTGCTAACATCCTTGCACACTTTGGACTTGAAAAAGAGGACTTAGATCATCTCATCTTTTACCCTGAAGACCAGCTCAATCCTGCTAACCTGACATCCATCTTGCGCCAAATTAGCATTCAGAAGGCCAAGAGTGCTACAACAGCAGTTGAGCAGATGAAAAAGCAACAGACCCAGCAGACGCAGAAGCAGCCATCATTGCAGACGGGGCAGGAGATCAGGCCTCCAGTTTTTCCTGCTGCGAAATCAGTTCCCCCTGACCATCTCATCCCCATCATCACTGATGTTTCACAGGCCATGCAACGTCCGGTGTCTATCCCTGGTGATCCTCGCCCCATTGCTCTTCCTCCAGGCCTGCCTCAGCCAATTACAGATCACATGACGCTGCCGACTTCCAACAGGCAGCCTCAAGCAAAGGTGGCCGTCTCCAAGGCTCTGCCAACTTCTGCCATGATACATGACTATGACGTGGGATTGCCGAAAATCTTTCCACACACCTGTTCTCTGTGTAATAAAGAATGTACTCATATGAAGGTGAGTGACAGTGAAATTTTGCATTGTTTATTTCAAATAACTATTTCAAATCTAAGATTGTTCAGGGTTCCCACGTGTACTGGAAAACCTGGAAAACAGTTGACTGATTTCCCAGTCATGGAAAATGAGAGAAAATGTAAAATGTCTTGGAAAATCTTGTGTTGTCCTGGAAAATTATTTTAAATTATGTTGCGGTTACTTATTTATTTATTTATTTATTTATTTCAAGCAAAATAGTGTGACAACAGAAAAAATACACAATAATAATAACTTATACACTTATGCTTGAAATGGAGTGGGAAGAAGTAAAACTTATTAAACCCCACCCCAGTCTATCAAAGAATTTATACATACAAAAAATAGCTGCTTCCTTCATAAATAATCTCAAAGAAAAAATATTAATAATAATAAAAAAAATTATAATAATAATAATAAGACCTCATTTAGAAACAGTGGATGCACAAGTCAAAACCACATATTCATACCATACATACTAATAATATACAAATATTTCCACAGGTAAATCAAATACCAACAATGGTAGACGAAATACCACAAGGGTACATACAGTGGGTACGGAAAGTATTCAGACCCCTTTAAAATTTTCACTCTTTGTTTCATTGCAGCCATTTTCCAAAAATCAAAAAAGTTCATTTTATTTCTCAGTAATGTACACTCAGCACCCCATCTTGACAGAAAAAAACAGAAATGTAGAAATTTTTGCAAATTTATTAAAAAAGAAAAACTGAAATATCACATGGTCATAAGTATTCAGACCCTTTGCCGTGACACTCATATTTAACTCAGGTGCTGTCTATTTCTTCTGATCATCCTTGAGATGGTTCTACACCTTCATTTGAGTCCAGCTGTGTTTGATTATACTGATTGGACTTGATTAGGAAAGCCACACACCTGTCTATATAAGACCTTACAGCTCACAGTGCATGTCAGAGCAAATGAGAATCATGAGGTCAAAGGAACTGCCTGAAGAGCTCAGAGACAGAATTGTGGCAAGGCACAGATCTGGCCAAGGTTACAAAAAATTTCTGTTGCACTTAAGGTTCCTAAGAGCACAGTGGCCTCCATAATCCTCAAATGGAAGACGTTTGGGACGACCAGAACCCTTCCTAGAGCTGGCCGTCCGGCCAAACTGAGCTATCGGGGGAGAAGAGCCTTGGTGAGAGAGGTAAAGAAGAACCCAAAGGTCACTGTGGCTGAGCTCCAGAGATGCAGTCGGGAGATGGGAGAAAGTTGTAGTAAGTCAACCATCACTGCAGCAATCCACCAGTCAGGGCTTTATGGCAGAGTGGCCCGACGGAAGCCTCTCCTCAGTGCAAGACACATGAAAGCCCGCATGGAGTTTGCTAAAAAACACCTGAAGGACTCCAAGATGGTGATAAATAAGATCCTCTGGTCTGATGAGACCAAGATAGAACTTTTTGGCCTTAATTCTAAGCGGTATGTGTGGAGAACACCAGGCACTGTTCATCACCTGTCCAATACAGTCTCAACAGTGAAGCATGGTGGTGGCAGCATCATGCTGTGGGGTTGTTTTTCAGCTGCAGGGACAGGACGACTGGTTGCAATCGAGGGAAAGATGAATGCGGCCAAGTACAGGGATATCCTGGACGAAAACCTTTTCCAGAGTGCTCTGGACCTCAGACTGGGCCGAAGGTTTACCTTCCAACAAGACAATGACCCTAAGCGCACCGCTAAAATAACGAAGGAGTGGCTTCACAACAACTCCGTGGCTGTTCTTGAATGGCCCAGCCAGAGCCCTGACTTAAACCCAATTGAGCATCTCTGGAGAGACCTGAAAATGGCTGTCCACCAACGTTTACCATCCAACCTGACAGAACTGGAGAGGATCTGCAAGGAGGAATGGCAGAGGATACCCAAATCCAGATGTGAAAAACTTGTTGCATCTTTCCCAAAACGACTCATGGCTGTATTAGATCAAAAGGGTGCTTCTACTAAATACTGAGCAAAGGGTCTGAATACTTATGACCATGTGATATTTCAGTTTTTCTTTTTTAATAAATTTGCAAAAATTTCTACATTTCTGTTTTTTTCTGTCAAGATGGGGTGCTGAGTGTACATTACTGAGAAATAAAATGAACTTTTTTGATTTTTGGAAAATGGCTGCAATGAAACAAAGAGTGAAAATTTTAAAGGGGTCTGAATACTTTCCGTACCCACTGTAACAATGATTATCAAATACCAAAAATGGTAGATGGAATACCACAAGGGTAAATAAATGACAACTAATCCAACGATCTACACAACATGAATACAATCAAACCTCATTGTCATTGTAACGGAACCAGACCTTTCGTTTGTAAAGACGTTTGAAATTGTGAATGCCTTGACACTGCTTTAATTCAAGCCCCAGATTATTCCTCAATACTCAGTTATGTTGCGGCAGTTTGGATTTTTCAAAACAATAATAATTAATTTTTTGTCACATTATTAGAGATATCAGCAATGCTTTCATTAACTTAATTCATTTTACATCTGACAGTAGGTATCTTTTTTTTTTTTTTGTAATATTATTATGGAGCCAAGAGTCCCTTTTTGTGTATTTTTGTTTCCTAAAAAGGAATTCCAATTACTACTAAAAATACTATTGCCTCTACTCCTCAGCGAATGTGTTTTTGTCCTGATCCATACTTTATTGCATATATAGCATCCTCTGCTGAGATGACCTTCACTAAACCTCAGGCAACTGGATGATGCCACTGTGGTGTATAACATATGTGCATTTGACCAGTTGATATATTGTTAAAAATAATATTGCAAGAAGCATGTGTTGGAGAAATTGTTATCTCTTTTTGTTTTTCGAGACTCAATTAAGTCTCGTAGGGGGGAATATGTGGTGTATAACATATGTGCATTTGACCATTACAGTTTAAAATAACACTCTAGCAGCTGGACAGAGGCTCAGTGAACTCTTAAGGGGGGAGTAGTGATTGATGGGTGTGTAAAGAATGAACCCTCCTATGGAATTTGACCTCTGACCCAGTGTTAGGGGGAGTAGTGATTAGTGTTTATGAAGGGACTGAACCCTTCTATGGTGTCTAACAGATGTTTACACTTATCCTACAGCACTGTGCCCTTATATGGATTGGAGCTTTAGATTGCAGACTCAAACCCTTATATGGTATTTAGCAGATACCTAAACATGTCCTATATAAGCTGTGTTTGATGTACAGAGAGACAGAGTGGCCATCGGGCTGGGTCACTCTCCAAGCTGCTGCAGAGCTTGTAATTGATGCTGAACTCCTTGATGTAATAAACTTTTATGATCAAGAACAGTGTCAAGCGGATTTCTTCTCAACACATCATCGCAGCATTATTGTTCGGACACCACACCACATAAAACTTTCCACTGATAGCGGTTGTGATGATAATCATATCTAAATGATGTGCGTCTGTTGTTCTGACTAGGATTGGCTCACCCACCAGAGCTCCCTCCTTCACCTTGAGAGCTGCAAACTTCTGCGAAAACAGTCAGTCTTTTTCATTTAAAATAAATTTATTATTAATTATAATTATTCTTTTATACTTGTTGCCACTTTTTCTGAATACTTTTATGCGATGCCCACCAGGTATGCACCAACACACTGTAGAGGAAAGAGAGAGACCGGATTGCTCATTGCTAAGTGTTCATACACACATTAAGAAGGTGTCTTTGAGATACCTCCTGTGATTGTCTTATAGTCTGCAGAACCTGTATAGTTCCTTGATATCCTTTGACCTTAAAAAGCATCAAGCATTTATGTGTATGTAAGTATTTTTTTTCCCACAGATACCCAGATTGGGATGGTGGGATAGCGCCCGGGCCCAGGTGAATATCTTACATTGCTACATGTCGTGTTAACTCACAGTACACATTTTAATCTGCCTTTCTGTTCAGCCAGAACCTGCTACTTTTATGCTCACACTGCAGAGATCAATTGACTGGCCACAATGTGAAGGCCACACTGAGCAGAAGTACAGAGCCCTTAGTCGGTTATGTCCAGGGACAATACCAATATTAAAACAAGATGGCTTTTATTGAACGCTGTTAATTTGTTCAATTCTCTTATGAAAGAAAAAAATAAGAAGAAGCCACAGATGTCTGGAAGTTGCAGAAGATATGGTCGGTCTGTCCTGCAGCCAAAGTTCAGTTTTATATCATTGCAGTCCAAAAAAACACAGTTTAAGCCACAACATGTAAAATATACTCCAGTAATATCAATACAAGCTCACTTTAGTTGGGTCTTTTGACAGCAAAATCTGTACAGTGTCTTCCTTGCTGTAGTTGTAGCGAATACAGCATTAATGAACCAAAATTCTAATTTGTAAAAAAAAAAAAAAAAAAACTTTCCTGTCATTTACCTATGCTTTTCTCGTCCTTTGCTCTCTTCAGGTATGCAGGTAAAGATGCCAAACCCTCAGCATCAACACCTGCAAAGAGTTCCCAGTGTCGTCTCAAGAAAACCAGGCATGGAAGCAGCTCCTGTTCCAGCTGTTCAAGCTCGCCCAGCCCCCATCGCCAACATGGCTCAGAGGTTCAAAGGGAAAAACGCAGCAGCCGATCACGATCGCTGCACAGCTCCAGATACAATCGCAGGTTTGTCAGACATACATTTTTAAATGAACAATAACCCGGGGAAAAACACATTTAAGAATTGATGACCATGTTTTACAGTAGCTGTGACACTGAACAGGTGATACTTTTCACTCTCATTAGGAGCACACGCGGACATTGTCGGGAGTGCATACAGGCATATGGGGGCTTACGCACTACTGAGTGACAGTATGGGTTGCTGTGATGAAAGTCAAGCAAGTCAAATGAGCCTGTGATATAAATGTTTTTACTTTGATTTTCGGTATGATTTTGAATCCAGCCCTCAATTGGTTGGTGATTTTGGTTTCCACTGACAGTTGAGTAATTTTATTCTCACAGAATTATACAATGTACATAAAAGATTTTTAACTCTTTTATTAATCGAGATCTGATGTGTGATTTAAGTGATTAAGGGAACTTAATCATTTTTGAGCAGTGTATTATTTGGAATATATTTTTTTGCAAAATGAATGATTTATTTTAAAATTGGCCTGTTGAATATTGATTGATCAGTTCAACAATGTATATTCACTGGAATCATACATAGGTATCATCAATATAGTGAAAACTTCCATTTAACCCCAAAAATTTGCTTGATGTTTTGAACTGCAACTTGACTGGTTGGCGCATCAGGTTTCGCACTCATTCTCACTCCCCATGGTATGTGTGCCCATCCCTTCCCGCTATAGGTCACATTCAAGTAGCCCTGAGCGACAACTGTCGTCGAGGAGTAGGGACGAGAAATGGTCCTCACCTAGAAGGAAGAGCCGTGAGAGACAATCTCCATCAAGGAGGAGCCGTGAGAGACAATCTCCACCAAGGACAAGCTGTGAGAGACCATTGCTAGCAAGGAGGAGCCGTGAGGGACGTTTGCCACCAAGGAGGAGCCGTGAGAGACAATCTCCACCAAGGAGGAGCCGTGAGAGAACATTGTCACCAAGGAGGAGCCGTGAGAGACAATCTCCACCAAGGAGGAGCCGTGAGAGAACATTGTCACCAAGGAGGAGCCGTGAGAGACAATCTCCACCATGGAGGAGCTGTGAGAGAACATTGTCACCAAGGAGGAGCCGTGAGAGACAATCTCCACCAAAGACAAGCTGTGAGAGACCATTGCCAGCAAGGAGGAGCCGTGAGAGAACATTGTCACCAAGGAGGAGCCGTGAGAGACAATCTCCACCAAGGAGGAGCCGTGAGAGAACATTGTCACCAAGGAGGAGCCGTGAGAGACAATCTCCACCAAGGACAAGCTGTGAGAGACCATTGCCAGCAAGGAGGAGCCATAAGAGACGATCTCCACCAAGGAGGAGCCGTGAGAGACAATCTCCACCATGGAGGAGCCGTGAGAGAACATTGTCACCAAGGAGGAGCCGTGAGAGACAATCTCCACCAAGGACAAGCTGTGAGAGACCATTGCCAGCAAGGAGGAGCCATAAGAGACGATCTCCACCAAGGAGGAGCCGTGAGAGACAATCTCCACCATGGAGGAGCCGTGAGAGAACATTGTCACCAAGGAGGAGCCGTGAGAGACAATCTCCACCAAGGACAAGCTGTGAGAGACCATTGCCAGCAAGGAGGAGCCATAAGAGACAATCTCCACCAAGGAGGAGCCGTGAGAAACAATTGCCTGCAAAGAGGAGCCGTGAGAGACATTTGCCACTAAAGAGGAGCCGTGAGAGCTCATCGTCCACAGCAGAGTCATCCCTTCAACGAAAGAAGTCAAGCTGTGCAGAGAGACTGGCCAAGAAACTACTGCAAACATCAGGTTTGAGAAATTGCAAAAACTTGAATACATCTAGGAATACGGTACAAATCATGTTTAAATGTTTACCTTGTTACTGAACATACTGCACCTATTAGAGAGATATATACACAGGTGCATACCACACATTTCTTTTGCTTATGGTGTAACAATCAAGAAAGCTGAGATCACTTTACAATGATAATTAACTCTCCATTTCTTCATCTTACAGTAGAGACTCTTGTAGTGATACTATACTTTGTAAATGAAATTCTGAAAAATAATATTTGGAAATATTATATCATAAGGACTGGTTTGGGACACCACCTGAATCGCCGTCCGCCCAAGGCCTTCAGGACTCCTTGGGTATAGCTAATAATTACACAATTATCACCAGTGATTAGTTAGTTTTTAATTGTTCAATTATTATCAGTTAGTTTAATCAATCAGTCAGTCTCAAATCTAAGGGTGAATCCTCTGTCCAGTGACCTGGACACTAAACAGTACACGCGGCCTCTCGAGCTAGTCTTTTGCCAACAGGGATTCCCTTCGTCTGGTTGAAGGTTGTGAGAAACGCTTGCAGTAAACGGGACAGTAGCCCTGGTTTGGTTCTCTGAGTTAGGTAGGCTACTAGTGTCGTTCTCAACTCAGTTGACTTGCCTCCAAACTCTGTCGTTGGGAGTAGGCTAGTGAAAGTTAATTCGAACTGAAATAAAGGCTTTAAAAGAAACTTGGTTGTTTTCTGAATTAAAAGTTGCATTAATTAAATGGTCTGATAACTTTAAACAAACAAAACAAAAGGTAAATTCACTGAAGGTTCTCGGGACTTTGTGAATATGGATGTTAGGCTATGGCTATAAGACAAAGACAACTTGCTATGGGAGACGTCTGGAGAGAGGAGCGAAGAGCAAGAGTCTCACACCCCTCAAAATGTGCGTCTTAATTTTAACTAGAGGTGATGTCTTAAAAGCCAAATTTTCGCGCGTCTTAATCACATTATCTTTCCACCATATCAACTCTTTTCTTAAATACAATAAACAGTTATACAGTCCTTAATTTAAAGCATTTGATATAAGGAAAGGAAAAGCTATTGTTAAACGATTAGAATTGTTACAGTTAAAATATTTCATAGTGATCATAGCAGAATAGCTGAACTAAATACTTCCGGGCAAGGGCATCACTTTGTGTTGAAAAGTGGTGGGGACATAGGGGTCAGATTAAGCCTAGTTCACACGATTTTTAGCCCTATTTGCCGCTCGGTGACCATCAGGGGTAAATCAGTGATCGATCTGTGGTCGCAAGTCGTTATGTGTGAACTACACAACGACGCATCAAAACGGCTCCCCAACACATTTCTGACACATCGCCAACATCTGCCAGATATCTGGAGGAGTCGGCCGACTCGACATCCACATCCAGCCAATGAGAGCAGGCAGCTACTTTTTCACTGCAAAACACTTTTTACTCACCTCTAGCTCTCTCTGTAGCTCAGACAATCCCTGCTAATCCATTCTTTCACCCTTTCTTTATCTTTATAATAACAAACAACAGCTGTTTGGTGTGTAGGTCGCGTCATTTCCCGTTTCACATTTCACGTGTGTTTTCTTGACAAAACGTGGTTTGGAGACCTGCGTCGGGTGACAGAGTCGCTGTCAGCTCGTGTAGTGTGTGACCCCCTGTCACCAATCAGTCACGTAGTGCGAACGCCACAACGACTTCAAGACTCCCGTCAAAAGACGACAAGTTGTGTAGTGTGAACAACACGGCAATCAGCCGATGCGGAGTTGTGTAGTCTGCATGAGCCTTTAGGGGTGTGAAGAAACACTTAGCTCACAAGACATCACGATATAAGGTTCACGAGAACGAGACGAAAAGATCTTTAAACAGTGTTTTAAAGATCTCTTCAATGCTGAGATATATGAGCGGGGGTCTAGGGTGACCTCCCTCAGGAAATCTTTATTTCTAAACACTTAATTTCATGAATGGATGGAAATGTTTTTATTTATGTAAAAGGAAACACAAAATTCAGGGGGCACGTGACATTTCAAAATATAATAGAATATAATGCAGTGCAGCTCTCAGGCATTCTGTGTTTCTTTCAGATCTGGTTTTCCTGTAGATCAACTTTTCTCTTGTTATATGATCCCTGCTGAGGCAACACATATGTAGGCATGATTTAGTCTTCCCTCCTTTTTGTCATGTTCAAAGGGAGAGAACAGGAAAATTGGTCAAAAAGAAACTGTCAAGAAGTTGTTAAACTTACTGATTGGGGCATGCATGTTTTATAATCAGTGGCTTGTTTTAAGTTACTTTTTTTGGACAATGCACATTTGTTTCTTCTAATTTCTTAATGTGCAAATAAACCTTGCTTCTGGGATAGTATTGATTGTTAGACGTTAATAAAAAAATATATAGAAGAAGGTATGAAACATGGCAATAGACACAGACATTAATTTATGAATACAAGGAGAAGGTTTAAGAACAATGGCATGTTGTATCTCTTTTCTCCTCTGGGGTTTCATGAATGGAGACTGAAGATAACTTTGATTACTTAAACTCTAAATTCAATCCCTGGCTCGGGAGCTGGGAAAATTACTTAAGTAACACAGGATAATACTTTAGTTACATATTCTTTATCCGATTTCACATTTTTCCTTTTGGTGCATTTTTTTAGTTTAAGCCTGTAAAAAGAGACTACTGGGTCTGGGTGTCCTTCCTTTGCCAATTCTTAGGGCTGAGGTCCCCTTGTAAAATAACTGATCTCACCTTCTCTTAATGTGAAATATGTGTGCTCACTAGTTGTTAACTACACTCTGAATAAAACTTTGCAACCACCAAAATGCTGCAATTGTCTGATACTGTGTGTTCGTCTTCGTCCCTCTAGCGGTCCAGTCTCTGTCAAAGCAATCTGACTTGGAGGCCGTAGTTAATGCTCTGGTTCCTGCCTTATGCGATGAGCTAGCCAAGAGAAAGTCATCTTCATCATCATCCTGTTCACCTACAGCAGAGCCCTCTAAAGCAAAGCCCAGCCTGGAGAAGAGCGTACCAAGTTCTACCACAAAGACTGAGGTTGGTGTGTGTACCAGGAAAATTTTAACACATGAACAAAGACCAACCTAAAGTTATACCTTTTACTATTTTCAGAAAAGACAGATGACATTAAAGGTTGAGTGTGTAATATTTCTGAGGATCATTGGACAGAAATGCAATATAAGATCCATAACTATGTTTTCAGTGGTGTGTAAAGACCTTACATAATAAACCATTATGTTTTTATTACCTTAGAATGAGACATTTATATCTACATAACCGCAGGCACCGCCTTCCATGGACGTTGCCACATTGCATCGTCATGCTTCTACAGTAGCTAAAAACACTACAGAGCGCATTTCGTCACTACAATCTTCTTTTCAATCAATCAGTCAATATTCAACATTTTCCATGTTGTCTGTCAGTGGCCAAGTGACAATAACATATGGTTTAACTGAATAATTAAGGAAATATCTTTATTTATATAATATATTTCTTAATAAATATACCTAAAGAAACCTCATTTCTTGACTGGCCACTCTGCTGTCTCAGAAGAGACACCTTTTGTGCTGTTGTCAGCCACAGTAGCTGTCCTATGCTCTTTAGGGGGCAGTGGTAGACTGGACAGTTGGTTGCAATTCACAACCCTCACCACTAGATGTCACTAAATCTTACACACTGAACCTTTAAGGTTTGATTGGACATGTTTTCCATTTTCCCATGATCATCTGTTTCGATGTCTGCGAAGATTCTCAGTCATTTAGGACATGTTATGCTGTTTGGAAGGCACAAAGTGGTCACACTATATGTTGATTTGATTTGTCACTTTCTCTGCTACTTCCTGCTTTCTTACAGTGCTTTGCTGCTTGCTCTTGGCTCTGCTTGCATTCTTTTGCTTAAACTCCCTTTTTTTCTGCTAGAAATCAGCAGCTCTTGGATACTTTTAAAACACTGGAACTGTCAGATAAAGTTGATCTCAGTGCTACATGAGTGTGAACTATCAATAGCACTAGCCTGTACTGCAGTGACTGGAGTTATAGCTAATGCTAATTAGCAACAAGATGCCCCCCTTCTCCACGGACGACTTCTACAAACTTCTACAGAAAATTGCAGTGCTGGAAACCAAGATCCACAGGTTAGAAGTGAATGTGGAAGTGAATGGACTATGTGGGAATGACACCACTTTACTGTGGACCCAAAACAGTGGACAAGAGCATGCTAACACACGGTTAATTAGCAACAACAAGACTCCCAAGAAGCAGGAGGCCTGTGTACTGGGTAATAAATCTGAAAGTGGGAGTCCTCCATGGAACGCTCTTGGTGCAAAGCCTAAGAGTAAATACAGTGCCTTGCGAAAGTATTCGGCCCCCTTGAACTTTTCGACCTTTTGCCACATTTCAGGCTTCAAACATAAAGATATAAAACTGTAATTTTTTGTGAAGAATCAACAACAAGTGGGACACAATTGTGAAGTGGAACGAAATTTATTGGATATTTCAAACCTTTTTAACAAATAAAAAACTGAAAAATTGGGCGTGCAAAATTATTCAGCCCCTTTACTTTCAGTGCAGCAAACTCTCTCCAGAACTTCAGTGAGGATCTCTGAATGATCCGATGTTGACCTAAATGACTAATGATGATAAATAGAATCCACCTGTGTAAAATCAAGTCTCCGTATAAATGCACCTGCTCTGTGATAGTCTCAGACGTCCGTTTAAAGCGCAGAGAGCATCATGAAGAACAAGGAACAAACCAGGCAGGTCCGAGATACTGTTGTGGAGAAGTTTAAAGCCGGATTTGGATACAAAAAGATTTCCCAGGCTTTAAACATCCCAAGGAGCACTGTGCAAGCGATAATATTGAAATGGAAGGAGTATCAGACCACTGCAAATCTACGAAGACCCGGCCGTCCCTCTAAACTTTCAGCTCATACAAGGAGCAGACTGATCAGAGATGCAGCCAAGAGGCCCATGATCACTCTGGATGAACTGCAGAGATCTACAGCTGAGGTGGGAGACTCTGTCCATAGGACAACAATCAGTCGTATACTGCACAAATCTGGCCTTTATGGAAGAGTGGCAAAAAGAAAGCCATTTCTTAAAGATATCCATAAAAAGTCTTGTTTAAAGTTTGCCACAAGCCACCTGGGAGACACACCAAACATGTGGAAGAAGGTGCTCTGGTCAGATGAAACCAAAATCGAACTTTTTGGCAACAATGCAAAACGTTATGTTTGGCGTAAAAGCAACACAGCTCATCACCCTGAACACACCATCCCCACTGTCAAACATGGTGGTGGCAGCATCATGGTTTGGGCCTGATTTTCTTCAGCAGGGACAGGGAAGATGGTTAAAATTGATGGGAAGATGGATGGAGCCAAATACAGGACCATTCTGGAAGAAAATCTGATGGAGTCTGCAAAAGACCTGAGACTGGGACGGAGATTTGTCTTCCAACAAGACAATGATCCAAATATAAAGCAAAATCTACACTGGAATGGTTCACAAATAAACATATCCAGGTGTTAGAATGGCCAAGTCAAAGTCCAGACCTGAATCCAATCAAGAATCTGTGGAAAGAACTGAAAACTGCTATTCACAAACGCTCTCCATCCAACCTCACTGAGCTCGAGCTGTTTTGCAAGGAGGAATGGGCAAAAATTTCAGTCTCTCGATGTGCAAAACTGATAGAGACGTACCCCAAGCGACTTACAGCTGTAATCGCAGCAAAAGGTGGTGCTACAAAGTATTAACTTAAGTGGGCTGAATAATTTTGCACGCCCAATTTTTCAGTTTTTTAATGGGAAATGGGAGGATGAGTAACAGGCAGAACCCAGCGCTCTGAGATTTGTGATGCGACTGGCTGGCCTGCATTATCATCCAGGCACAGCGCCTCTTCAACCCCTGTTCTTAGTAGGACACAGCCGTGGACAACTGCGAAAGGGAGAGTTAGCAACAAACCTCCCCAACAACTAAGTGTGCAACAGCAGAACAGATTTTCACCACTATTGCAGGACCCTGGATCTCCGTGTGATGACCTGGATAACATCCCGTCCTCACACAGAAGGGTAAGGACTGAGAGTACATCAGAAAGTAAAAGGCTGCAAGGAAAGATAACGACTGGGCCTCAAACTCTGATTGTGGGTGACTGCTGTAAATGATGTAAGAAGCATGTGCAGTAAGAACACCAAAACACTCTTTCAACACGCTTTCCGAAGGGTACGGTGTCTGACTTGGCAGAAAGAATCCTGCATATCGTGGCTGAACATCCTTCTGTGAAAAACATCATACTGCACATCAGGACCAATGATGTTGTGAAGCAACAGTCTGAAATGTTGAAAGAGGATTTTAATAATCTGTTGAACACAGTCAGCTCTTTGAATGCTGAGGTGTTTATCAGTGGCCCTATACTGCCAATCCGAAGAGGAGCTGAGAGATTCAGCAGATTGATGGCATTGAACACATGGCTCTCAATGGCATGTACTGTCCATTCAGTGTATTTCATCGAAAACCTTTACTTTCTGTGGGACCGCAGACATGTTTTTAAGGCAGATGGACTTTGCCTTAACAAGTCAGGAGTAAAATTGTTCAGCTCCAACCTGTTTTACTTTCTGCGTCACTCATCTGTTCCCTCTGCCAAGGACAAGAGACAAGAGGAATCAAAACAAGAAGAAGACATAACACAACACGCCAGAAACCTTGAAGGAGAGCCACCTCAGCCCCTCTGATCACCCCCCCAATCCCCATCCAGGTCACCCTTATCTCCAGACACCCTTTCTCCCCTCTCCCCCCTGTCGGACTTCACTAATCACATGGAAGACCTGGTTAGAGCTGGGACCAAATTTACTCCCCGCAACTTCCCTCGCTCCACTCCCATTTTCTCTACCATAAACCCCTCTCACCGTCCACCTCCACCACTGGTTCTAAGTCCTCCAGTTTTGACACATGTGTCACAAATACAGCGCCCAACCCGTCCTCCCACTCCACAATGGCGAAAAAGCCCAATAAGCTCTGTCTGATATGTGCTGGGTCCAGGCTACATGGAAAATAGCACTCATGACTCTTCCCAGGACAAGCCAGTGCCCAGTGTGCTGGTAGTCTTCTGCATCCCTGTCTTGACAGGTAACAGAAAAAGCATGGTGAATGTGTTAAGAAAAAGGAAGCATTCACTATATCCTGCAAATTTAGTATTAATTCCTCGTCAGCCGCAGCCTGTCGAAAAAAGTGGGCCAGATAATGTTTTTAACACACTAAAATTAGCTTTGTTAAGCGTTAGGTCTCACAATCTTAATTTCATGTTTTTAACTGAAACTTGGTTGGACCAAGATAACAGTGCAGCTGTCCTTATCGAGTCTACCCCTCCCAACTTCAGTTTTATGAGTGAAGCTAGAGTGCATAAGAGAGGAGGTGGAGTTGCCATTTTGTTTAATGACTCCCTCCAATGCAAAAAAGAAGTCTTATGGGAATTTTGCTTCTTTTGAATATGTTGCTCTTCAGCTGAATTCCTCTTCTCGAGCTATTTTATAAATATCTACAGGCCCCCTAAATACTGTGCAAACTTTTTTTGATGACTTTGGTGAACTGCTGTCTATAATCTGTTTTGACTGTGTGGTTATTGTTGGTGATTTTAACATCCATGTTGACAACACCCAGGGACAGAGGGACTAAAGAACTGTGTTGTGTTCTTGATAATTATGGACTGACCCAACATGTGACAGAGCTCACACACAATAAGGGGCACACTTTGGACTTGGTCATCTCCAAGGGTCTGGACATTTCCAAGGTTGTGGTGACTGATGTTGCTCTCTCTGATCATTCCTGTGTTTTCTTTGAGAGCGCTATCTGTGTGCACACAAATGTACAAACAGAGGTAATCACAAAATGGCATATCACTGAAAACACTAGTGAAAAATTTATTGAGGCTTTCTCCTCGACACCTGCCCTCTCACAGGTCTCATTGAATGAGCTTGTAGATAATTTCAGTTCTAAAATTACAAATGTGATTGATGCCATTGCACCAGCCAAGGTGAAGGTGGTCTC